TACAAAGGAGAATATCTCTTGCAAGAGATTGCCCAAACCCCATTATTAAGAGTGTCAATATGAAAGGTAAGAGACTGAGTTTTGGCCCTGGCTGTGAATTGCAGAGGAAGAATCCAAATTTCTGTCTTTGATATCTTAATTACACAGTGTGGCTGTAGGTCATAAGGTTGGGTGACAACAGTGCGGCATCCTCCTCTTCTCATCATTGTGCCCTCTGCTTTCTGACTCATGCCAAGATTGCCTTGTGAGTCCAGTGCTTCAGTTTTGGATGTCCTTGAGGGCTTAGGCATCAACTGAAGGAAGTTCTCCTGCCTTGCTCCCAGATGAACCACCACTGTATAGTATAATTCATTCTGTGCACAGAAAGTTTGTTCACTGGAGCTAGAATCTTCAAATCCTTAATATTCAAAATGCTGTTTAAAGAGAAGGGATGATGTCTTGAGCTTATCATTGATATCTGTATGTGTTGCTGTTCACTTGTCAATGGTGTTTTGGTTTCAGCTTTTGTCTTGGTGACATTTCTTAATATTTTTAATTGTCAATGTTTTCTTCTAAATCCTTTCCCATAGAAATAATTGTTACATTGGATAAAACTGGACAGATGTTTTCTGCTCATTCATAGAATTCTACCAGGAACTGTTAAAGAGGTTTTGGTGTGAAAGCAGAGTTAGCCTGAGCTGTATTAATTAACAGTGAAGGTTCTTCTATATCTACAGGTATTAACCAAAAAATGTCCATGCCAAATACTGAGGTACAAATTCAGGTGAAAATCGATTTTTTGCTAATACTCTGCATAGAGGATGTTGCCATTATTGCCATAAACTCCTCTTAATGTCAATATTTAAGGGTTTGTTGTTTTTTGGGGTTTTTTTGTTAAATATGGTATTTGCAGAAATAGAGTGCTTAAAAGTGGGCTTCATTTCACCTAATTGTTGGTGTCTAAAAATAAAACAGTGAAGTGTCTCTGCACCCCCTGTGGTAGCTGAGGAGACACATGGATGTCTGTTGGCTATGTATCCCACCCTAAATGAGGTGTCTGAGCTGCATGGGATGAGCTGCTCTCCAGTGGTCCTGTCCACACTCCTGTGAATGTGGCATCCTTCAAACGTGTGGCTGTCTTAGGGGGGTTCCCTGATCTCTACTGGTTTATTACAGTTTTGAAATCACCCCTTCCCTCCCCAAAACTTCCTCTGTGAGGCTCCTTGTCTATCTCCCAGCAGTTTCTCTCTGGGTTTAAGGAAAGAAGAGTAAAGGAAAATGATTGGAATAGGGGCTTTTGTCCTTTCTTCCTTTCTTCCTTTCTTTTGCATTTTTTAAATAAAAATGAGCTTTCTAAATAATACAAACAACTTTGTATCCCCTGATTGTTTGTTTTATCAGGAGAGGAAGAACAAGCAAAGATCATTGAGTATGTTAGATTAAAAACTGACACCTCAGAGACTTGGTACACAATAAAAGTTGCTAGCCCAGTGGTTTTACTTAGCAAGGTGAAATTTCTCTTTAGAGTGGAGGTCAGATGTTTCAGGATTGTGGAGGATGTGCTAGAGGGGTAGGAACTCAAAACATGACTAGGAAAAAAATGCCTTATTTCCTTATTTCTCTGAAGTGTACCAGTGATCTGGCCTTCCAGATGCTGTTTAGCTGTAGATACACTGTCATGTTCTCTAACTTCCATTTTTCAATTTTTTTTTTATGTTTGTCGTATACATACATTCTCTTGGTATACTATGGATCTTCAGGATTGCTTATTTAGGAGAGAGCAAGACATTGCTGTATCCAAGATGACAATTATGAGGAAACATAAAAAAGGGCCAAGCAATAACAGCTACTGCCAAACTTCAGCTTCTTTGGGAACAGAATTTTGGCAAAATTCCTTCCCTAGATTGCTTGTAATGTATTTAAGAGAACAGTTTGGAAGGATAAGGACTCCTGAGATCTGTGTCTTCCTTCAGACTTCCTTACTGACTCTGCTGTGGAAATCTTTTTAGTTTAAGAACATCAAGTGTCATGAAAGACTCGCTTATTGAGGTTGACATACTAGAATAAACTGGTGATTCATATTAGTGGGAAGTGGAGCAGTAAGCATTTTAAGTGTACTGAAGGAGTTTGGTGAAGCTGCTAATGTACAAAAATATTCTAATTATAACCAGTTAGAAAACCAGGTTGCAGCAAAAGGTACTTGTACCTTCAAAGATTGGGGAAGGATGATCTTGCTGAGGTCTGGGTCTCAGTACCCTCTGATATCCAATCAGAATAGCTTAGTGTCATTCAAAAATAATTGGACTGTTGGATCTATAACATGCATTTATACAAGGAAAATACAAACAGCAAACACAAAATCTGTTTGCTAGATTCACAGCCTTGTTTTATTGTTACAAAGTGAGCCAAGTTAAACATAATTGTTAATGAACTTAACACAGCAGGGGCAAAGCAGTGCAGCTTCTGTGAAGGAAAACTGAGCTGTGCACATCTGTGAAGATTAACATGAATGAATTAAGAAATTACTCTCATATGCATTTCTTGAAAGCTTTGATAGTAAGGCACTCTGGTTTTCACAATGTCACAGTTAATTCTAGGTATGTTTTGACACTCCATCCTCACACAGCTGTTAAGTATACTTACCAGTAAATTTGACTAATTTAGCAGTAGCTGAACCGTGTGAGTTGTGTAAAACTTGACATTAGTTCAAAATTGTTCAAGTAGCTGAGTATAAGGGAGGACTCTGTGGTGTTCCCTAGGGATCCCAAGGGAGGTGGGCAGCTGGCAGTCTGACACACAGCCCAGGGTGTGCAGGTCTGTGTTGGAAAGGTTTCTGTTCACCAGTAGCTTCTGCTGTGGCCACAGCTGTGTGTGGGGACAAGTCCTCAGGTTTGGAGCAGTCTCATGCTTCCAAACTGCAGACAGTGCCCTACAAAGAAAATAGAAGGGAAATACTTTCCCTTGGTATTGGAAAAATCAGAATCAGGTAGTAGTGTTTGTGAGGATATGTGTATGTCATATGTAATAATTTGCAGAGACTAAGGTGGGTGGTGTTTATTTTAACCACTTTACAAGAAATGAGAGATGTTCAGTACCCTGAATATTAATTTAAATTTGCTTCCTTATTCCTTACATCATGTCTTGCTAACCTGTGAAGCTCAGTGCTGTATGATAGCTAATCTGAAGAGCTTAATAACATTCAAAATTAATTAAACTTCTGGATGGATACCATGCTCTATTATCTTATACAGGAAAAAGATAAACCCTCCAGCTTCAAAGATGAGTTGGTAATAACCAACACTGAAGAAAACTTGACTGGCCACTGTTCATTAGAAAGCCTGAGGATCAGTCATTGCTGCTGCTGGGTTAGGAGGGAGAACAAGGGCAGACAGTCTGCTCAGTGCTGAAAAGAACACTTTTACAAATGATCTGTTGTCTGGGCTACCTTGGTTTTGCTTTCAAAGCATAAAACCTCCAGACCCACAGGTGAAATGACATCATATATGCTGCCTGTCTCACATGTTTGTTTGTACATAAACTAATACTGCAGTGGGGCTGTCAGCAGCAAAGCAACTGAAGTTAGTTATTATAGTTATTGGTAGATTTCTATCAAGGCAGTACTCCCTGGGATTTTTATGGTTTTATTTTATTTTAAGATGTATGTTTAGTGTGTATAATTTGTGTTGGCATTACATGCCTCCTGCAGCAAGCAGAGTGTGTGAGATTGCTTGTTTGTTTGGGTTGCTTATTGTGGTGGGTTCACCCTGGCTGAATGCCGGGTGCCATCAAAGCTTCTCTGTCACTCCCCTGCTCAGCTGGACAGGGGAGAGAAAATACAACAAAAGACTCCTCGTGGGTTTAAGATAAGGACAGGAGAGATGATTCACCAGTTACTGTTATATTGAAGTATTGCAACAGACTCAACTTGGGGAAATCGAGTTTTATGACAAGTGAAATCAGAGTAGGATAATGAGAAATAAAACCACCTTAAAGCTGAAGGTGATAAAACACCTTCCCTCCACCCCTCCCTTCTTTCCAAGCTTATTTTAACTCCAAAATTGTTCATTTCCCTGCTGTTAATGGTGCAGGTGGTTGGGAAATGGATACTCTGGTCAGTTCATCACATATTGTCTCTGCTGCTCTTTCCTCCTTAGGAGCAGGACTCCACATTCTTCCCCTGTTCCACCATGGGCTCCCTCTGACAAGAGACAGTCCTCCACAAGCTTCTCCAGTGGATTTCCCATGGACTGCAGTTCTTCACAAGCTGCTCCAACATGGGTCCTTCCCCTGGGGTGCAGTCCTTTGGGACACACTGCTCCACTGTGGGCTCCTCTCTCCATGGGGCCACAGGTCCTACCAGGGGCCTGTTCCAGTGCATGCTTCCATGGGGTCACAACCTCCTCTGGGCATCCACCTGCTCTGCTCCCCTGTGGATTTCCATGGGCTGCAGGGGCACAGCTGCCTCACCGTGAACTGCACCACAGGCTGCAGGGGAATTTGCTCCATAGCCTGGAATACTTTCTCTTCCTCCTTCACATGTCTGCAGGGCTGTAGCTTTCACATATTCTCACTCCTCTCTTCTCTGGCTGCACTTGATTCAGCACAGTAACTTTATCCTGTTTTTAAGTCTATGATCCCATCACTGTCAATGATGGGCTTGGCTTGGCCAGTGGCAGGACTGTCCTGGAGCTGGCTGGCATTGGCTCTGTTGGACATAAGGGAAACTTCCAGCAACTTCTCGGAGGCGCCCTGTGGCCCCTCTTCCCCCTCCCAAAACCTTGCCATGAGTACCCAATACACATACCAGCTCTGTGGACACTTAAACCAGGGAGAAAACATTGTGACTGTAAAATTACCTGCTGATATGAAAATGTTTTACATTAGTTTGCAGAATATAACAGATCTTTTTCTATCACTTTGTAAAAACAACTTTCATGGTCAGATTTATGGTATGAATTTGGTTTAGATCTTATAAAATATAAATTAACAAGCATCTTAAAAGTATCTGTATTTTTTTGCAGGGTATTATAGAGAAATCGAAAATGAAAGGAATTCCTATCATTATTGATGCAGTAAGTATTTTCTTTATTTCCATCAGTGGTTTAGCATTTAAGAATCTGTTCAGTAAATGTTCTTACTGTGTGTTGCAGGATGGACTGTGGCTCATTTCCCAGCAGCCTTCTCTTATCCAAGGCTACCAGCGAGCTATTCTTACTCCAAACTACATGGAGTTCAGTAGACTGTATGAGGCCATGGTGAGCTGCTTGCCTTTTGGGTATTTATGTATTTAATCTTTTTGTCCTTGAAAACAAGTAACTTATTACTGGCTTAAATATTACATGCTGTTTCTTGTATGTGAGAGAAACACTTGCTGGGTTATTATTTCATGGGATGATTGTCACAGCAATGCATATTCTTAAACTGAGCTGTTTTTTAAAGACCCATTCTCATGCATTTTTTAACATTGCAATGGGTACAGAAAGACTGATGTTGCTTTTTTTCCCCCATGCATATGTAACTAGCATGTGTTAGAATATGTTGTTCTAGTAGCAAAATATGTACTGTGTATGGAATTCTTGTGTTGTAGCTTAGAGACCCCGTAGACAGTAGTGATCATCATGGATGTGTGCTAAGACTCAGCCAAGCCATGGGGAATTTGACAGTTGTGCAAAAGGGAGAAAGAGATCTTATTTCAGATGGAGAGAAGGGTAAGTGAAGCTTCTGCTTTCAGCAGTGTGATTGTTCTGTTCTGTTTGCTTTCAGTCAGAGTCCAGTAGAGTGTATAGCAATTGGCAGTATTGCCCTGAAGATTAGAGGGATTGCTGTCTTTGCTGATCACCTTTAGATGATTTGTGTAAATTAATATTTTAAGAGTGCAACTAAATTTATTTGCTGAAAAAAGTTGCTGATTTTATTTTGCATTTATAGATGTTATATTTTACATTACATGGGTATTGAGAAATTAATTATTTAATCTTTGTGGACTTTTTGATAGTTCTTTGCTGAGATGGTTTATAGAAGTGCATCTGTCATTGCTGAATTGATACAAAATCATACTGTTAGTTCAGGATGTGTCAGTGTGTGTGAGAAATGAAGATGTCTTAAGGCTCAGTTCCTTGATCCTGTCCATCATGTACTTCATATGACTTCACAGCAGCCCTGACAAATTAAAAATTAATTCTAGATTGTCATTACAACAGTCTCATACCAATATAGTTTAAAGTATATTTAATAAAATTAGCTGCTTGTCTGATGCTTTTTATACTGATCATGTGCTGTGATCAGTATAAAATTAATTCATGAGTGCCTTCGTCACATTTTGCCTACATGGTCTTATTTCACATACATAACAAGCAGCAGCTCTGCTTTTAATTACTTGAAATGGTAATCTCTGATAAATGTTTATGCTGCTTCAGAACTGTTTTGTATATATAGTCAATTTTTCATTACTGGGAGCCACGGAAGTCTTTTATAACCAAAAAGCAGATGTAGTGTGACAACTGATTTGTACAGAGCCACCTTCACATACCCTGTTAGGGCAGATACTGTAGCAGACTGTGCAACAAGTGGGACCTGGAAGCAATATGGTTACATCTGTGTGGGAAAGATAGATGTACTTCCTCACAAAGAACTCAGCTTTCCCCACAGGAAGAATTTTTGTCATATTTGCACCTGCAGCAGACTTGATTTGTAACCGTGGACAGTGAGGCCAGGCTTAAGGGAGGATGAACTCGGCTGGACTTGACTCCAGTCTGTGCCAGCTAGAGAGCTTTAGAGCATTGTAGTTGTCTTCTTCCTCTGCTTTTATGTCAAAAATATTCTTTTTATACAGGATTGTTGCTTTTTAAATGAACATTGGGAAGACTGGGTGAGCACTGTAGATGGAGTACATTATCTAGTATATTTATCTATATGTCTGTTCTCCTTTTGAACTGTTACTCTCGAGATAAGTGTATCCCCACACCTGCTGGAGAGACAGGACAGGTGTAAAATCTCTTGTCATGCAGGATTTAAAAAAAAAAACAGGAAACAAGTGAAGCTCTTTCCAGTTTCAATTTTGAATGTTCATATGTAGCACAAGTTCATGTATGTCTTGTGTGCTTTTGGGGTTTTTCATTGGTTATATTTTTCCCCCACCTTCTTATTTGTCTCTGATGTGTTGTGATATTTTCTTCTACTAGTGAAATGACTTTTGGTTTTGAAATAAAAACAGTTCTGTGGCTTTATAGCAGTTGATTGATGTCCTGCTGTAGGCTGCTTTCTTGTTCTTACCTTGGTGCTATCACTGGTGCTTTGTTGGATTACAGACATTACAGGCAGCATTGCTGAGCTAAGAAAGCAGGTTGTAATGTCTGTTACAAGAACTGTTTTTAGAGTTTGCATGACTTTGAAGAAGGTTCTTGAGAATTTTGCAGAAACTACAGACTTCACCTTCCTTGTTCTTGGGTCGGATCTGCTGGTCATTTTTTTAAAAGCTTCTCAAATGCAAAATTACATTGAGAAAGGAGATTCTACCGTGTGCTCTGTGCCAAACATGGAATATGTTGTCCTGTCACTGACCTCGAATTCTTCAGGTTTTTTTGCTCTTGTTTTTCATCTGTCTCTTCTTTTGATCTGATGTCATTTTTTTCAGCTAAGACTACAAAAATTCAAGGTTATTGGAATGGGCCGGTGTCCTCTGAGCACAATCAAACATTATGAAAAGATCTGTGTACTCCTCTTGCCTTTTATTTGTCATGTCACCATCTATTTGTAGTGCTTAAGCCCTGCCTGTTAGGCTTTTCCTGTTTGACCTCCTGTGTTCAGCATACTGACACTGTAGTTTGCATATATTACTTTTAAACTTTCTCCTTTGGGAAAATACTGCATGTGTGCTTTCCAGGAAAAAAAAAAAAAAAAAAAAAAAAAAAAAGAGAGAGAAAAGTAAGTCTCAGTGCTCTCCAGGAAAACCAGAAATTGAGGAATTGCAAACTTAACTGTGTAACTTTAGTTTTTATGCTGAGTTGTTGAGGAAAGAAGGCTTTTTGAAGATGCCACATTTTGCAGTAGGAAAGACTGGGTTTGTGAGTGCTTTATAGCTTAGAGTGATTGTAATGGTTGTTTTCAGAGTAGTTTTATTCATGAGTCTGTAGGAAATGCTGTAGACAGTTTACTTCTGCCACCTGAAGACAGAAAGGGTTACCAGGTAATTTGGTGTCAGGTATTGCTGAAGAATTACTCTCAACAACGAGCTTTGTAATCTACACAGAGAGGCTCAGTAAATTCTGATTGGAAGCTGAAGTTTAATAAATTCAAAGTAAGATTTAGACAAATGAACTAGTACATCCACATACCTGAAACTTTGCTAGGTTCACAAACTTTGAAGTATCTGGAGACCTCTAAAGTTTGTTTTCACAGATCAGACTAGATGGCCTCAGAGTCACATACTGGCCTCTGTGAAATCAGTAGCAGCCCTCCAGTACAAAGGAGGTTTTTCTAAAATTTGTCTCCATTTCAGTAGTGAGCTGCCAACTGGCCTGTAAACGTAATCACCCAGATTTTAAATTAAGTTTTATATACTCTTTTTCTCTTTCCTTTTGCAATTTCACATTATAGCTTGGTCTACAGTTGTTGATTCCCTGCTCTACAAAGATGAGCTTCACCATGCTCTTGGTAGGTGATATCAGTGCCATCACTGACCAGGGTAGGAATGAGTACTCAGCCTATGGGTAAAAGGTAAGTCAGCTTTTATTCACTATGGCACAGCTCTCTAAGGTTATCTTTTTATTATTCTTTGGAGAACTGGTCAATAATAAAGTGTGGTTATACCAGCCTTAGTTCCTAACATGTTTAAAATTTGGTTAGGTCCTTGAATTAGAGTATTTGGATTTTGGCTTTTAAACATTACAGTGAGTTTTTCTGTATTTGACCCTCCTCCCTTCCAAAAGGCAGGCTTTCTGGGAACCATCCTGCTACTACCTGGGACTACTTCTACCTGGAACCAGTAGCCAAATTTGGTTTAACTTCAGTTGCTCAGGTGCAGCTTTATGGTCAAAAGAAGCAAGGAAGCACGTGAGGCAGAATACTGAGTACTGGCTAAGGGCTAAAAAGCCAACTTTTGCCAAAGTCCCCAAGTGGTGCTTCTAATTCCAGGCATTCATCTCCCACACAGCTGGAAATGAAGCTTGTCACTGCCTGGCTCCCTCACAGCTGCTGAGCAAATCTCACCTAGATTTACAGCTGAGGGATTTGTAACTGAGAGGCAGCACCTTGGTCTGCAGTGCTGTTTCTGCAGAATGAGCAGAATGGGGAGGTGCTGGTTCCTGTCCTGGTGCCCCTGTGCTGCCTCTGGCAGTGCAGCCCAGCCAGCTTCTCCTGGCACTGCTCACCTGGCTCCTCTGCCTGTCCAACAGAACTCATGGAAAACTTGGGTCATTCTCATCTCAACTTAAATGGACTGCTCTATTGCACTCAAGGACTTACCTAAGTTTTAAAAGTGTGATTAGGGAATAAAAAAGTATAAGCACCCTTTATATAAAAGCCAACTTACATTTTCCACATCAGTTGAGTTGTTTCTCTAGCCAGAGTCATTAAACTTGGTTTCCCTGTCTGTATGCACTCTGGGACATGTTCTTGGGAATCCGTGATCTCCAGCTATTTGCTTTTGTGAACTAACTTGCAAAAGGAAAAAGATAAATGTATTACTAGTATAGATACATGCTAGGTCAGAGATGTATATTGGTAAGAGGTTTTACTAAAAATCTGATGTTGGTCTAAATCTTGCATTGATTGGGCAAAATGATCCTTGGTAGCTACATTATTTGCATAGAAAATGGAAATCTTAAACCTTTTAATTAAACTGGAGTGTGTTTGTTGTGTGGGGTGGCTGTTAGCTGATTGATCCAGTTGGGTTGTATCAGAAGTTAGAATGGTCATGTTTCTTCCATGGGTTCCTGACCAGATTAGGGTGAGTGTAATACTCCTCCTCTGTAAGAAGAAAACAAGTGCAAGGAATTTGTTCAGGACATCTGAGATTCAGGAGTTAAATTTAAATCTCCAGTCTTTCAGTAATCTGCCATCTCAATAAATGTGATGTTTCACATAGGCTCTTCAGCCTTCTTGACCATCATCAGAACACCTAAACTATCCCATATTTCACATGCCATGGTCTAAATGCAAAAGTAAAACCACCCCAGAGATTCATTTATTTATTTCACTACTGGGTGAACATGGTCAATCAGGAACAAGCAGACACACACTATCTTTGGTAGTTAGAAAAATTTTGATTTTCTAACTGTGTTGTATTTAGGAGCTGGCATTGTGAATGGAGCTGCTATTTGGGACAGCTATTTTCAGTTATATAACAGACTGTTGTGTTTTGTTTTTTTAATTAAGCATACAATACCCATAAATAGGTAATTCTGGGGTTTTGGCAGCAGCAGAATTTGGGCTGGGAGTTCTTTCAGCTTAAAACTTGGCAATGATACAGCTAGGTGTGACACCATGGTGTGAATGCTTTCACAAACATTAATGTGTATCTTACCATCACTCCCTTTTCAGCACTTCTTGAAGATATCTTAAACACACACCTATTAAATGACTTGGCCATGGTTACCCAGAAAGTCTGGGCCAGAGTTTTGAATTCTTTGAAGCCTAAAACTCCTGAATTTTGCTTTACAATATTCTGTCAGTATGACAGCCTTCAGTTTTTTGTTTCTGTTGCACTCATTTCAGTACAAATCATTTCCATGGATTTGAGTACACAAGAAATCCCTGTGATTATATGTGAGGGACGTGTTGTATTTGCTGCCTAAAGGTCTGGCAGTATTTATGTGATGTTTACTTGCTGAGACTGTGTTGAAACTGTTGAATAGGACTGTGGCTGTTCTGACTCTAGCAGATCTCCTTGCAGGCATTTCTTCAGTGATGACATTTTTATTTCATCTAGCCTTTTCTCCTGATAGTATATGTGTGCTGCATAGATAAGTGCTAGGGTGATTTTTTTCCCCCTGAGAGTTACTTGGTACAAATCAGTTTTCATTAAAAATCTGTCTGCTACTTATACTGAGGTGGGTTTTCTTTGATTCATTAACCTGAGAAATCATGACATCAGATTTGGTTGCTCAGACCTGTTAGAAGACAGAACTGGACACCCTGCTGTAACAGCCAGCTTGACCAGCATTAATTGTGGTTTCTGTCAGTGCAGCTATAACTGAACCTCTCCATTGTTTTGATCCAGACTGGTGTCAAACTAATTGACCTTAAGTGGCCCTGGCTGCTGCCCTTTCAGAATTGACACACTGTGATGATTTCTTTGTGGTTTCCTTGTTGTCCCACATGCAGTCATCTGGGTCTCCTCAGCTCTTCCAAGAACCATATTTTCTGTGTTTGCTGATGTACATGATACAACACATCACACCCAGCTTCATCCCCACATAAACAGAGCGTTGTGCACATTTCCAGGGGACAGAGCTGCCCACCTTCTTGGCACCACACCTGACTTTTCAGCCATGCCCAGCTACCCAAGGCCTTGTGACACTGCCACTGGTTGTGACTGCTCAGTGCAACCTAAAGGCATCTCCCCCATGGTCCTGAAGGAGCTGCTGGAGCTGTCCTCACAGCAGGCTCAGACATGCACTGGGGGATGGATGTTGCACTGGCAGAGTGAAGACAGCAGTTCTGTGTTGCTGTTCTAGGAGAAGGGTGAGAAAAGTATCCCATGTTGATTTGGGAGTGTGGCAGTTTGTCTTGATGCCACTGTGGGACTCCTTCTTGGATTTTAAAAGCTCTTAATAATCGCTGTAATTCAGAAGTGTTTTTAAATCCTTTTCCCATTGCCTGTCATCATGTTCATCATCCTTTTATATTGAGGTGTTCTTTGATCAGCCGAGCCTCTGCACAAGAATTGTGTTATATCCCCTCCTCATTCAAGTGAATTTCCTCTAGTTCTGGTTCTTTGAAGGTATTCCAAGGATTTGTTTTCCAGCATCTGTGTGCAGAGTACAAAGGTCTGCTTTTATTGTTGCCTGTGAGGTAGTCTGCACATATTTGAGACTTACTTTTTAAAACCACAAACAAAAGACCACTTCTTTTTTTTTTTTTTTTAGCAGAGTATTATAATTGGCCTAGTTTGAGATCTTGCTTTCCTGTACAGCTCAAAAATGACTGGAAGGTTGTGGGGCTACAGAATAGTGGCAGATGGTGACATACAGCTAATAAGCAGGGGCTTGAGCTCAGCTGTCAGTCAGAAGGCCCCAAAGCTTTTGAACAGAGGATTTCCATCCTGCCTCCTGCCAGGAGTTCAAGCCCTCAAAGTGAAAATCCTGTGAGATAGCATCTTCAAAGTAGTAGAATTAGAGGTAATTTCTCCAAAGCACTGTATTTAAAATAAAAATAAGAATAAATCACTCCACCTAAAAGGGCATACCTTCTTCAGATAACTAACTCAGAAGGGCATTACACTTGTGAAATTTGACATTAGCTACTGCTCACTGAGAAACACATCCAGAATCTTAATTTGAGAGGGGGAGGGGGAAGGGCAGAAGAGTGATTGGGAAAATGAACTGCTGGCAGGGCTGCAGTGGTGTGTGCTGTGCTCCTGGTGACTAATGAATCTTTGCCCTCTCAGTGGCAGCAAACGCGCAAACTGCCTGGCCCTGTGAGCCCCACAGTTACTGCTGGAAGGATCACTAGGAAATGGAACTGAAGTACAATTCTTTGCTGTTGCACATAACAAACTGCAAGGGATTTATTGGCACTATGTCATTTTTACCATTTGCTAGTTAGAAAGATGTATCTGCAAGTTCTTCAGTTCTGTGCACATTTTTTCCATTAGCTTCAAAAAGAAAATTTTTTTAAAATGTTAAAAATATGGCAGTACTCCCTCTAAAACACCTGGGCTGCTGTGTTTATACTCTTTGGGGAATCCAAGTCCAGGCTTGAGGTAAGAGCTGTTGTCCAAGCAATGCCTGCTCTTGCTTTATCCTTTGTGGGATATTTGGCATGCTCAGCAGCACACAAGGAGTTGTGTGCACAGTCCTGAATCCTGCAGTAGCTGACTGGAGATGCTAAGGATCACACTTGGCCAGTCATGATTCTGCCAGCTCTTCCATCCTCCTAGGAGAGGAAAATAAATTTCTCCTGGGTTTTTGTTTTATTTTTCAGAGCCAAGCAAGAAAAAAGCTAAGGGTAGGTACATTCCCACACGAGAGCTTGGAGAAGGGTAGCAGAATTGATGCTGGTTTTTTTTTTATGTGCCTTATATGTCCTTCAGGCTTCCTGCTTGGGCTTGTTGAGAATGGAGAACAAAAGAGTTAAATGTAGTGAAACCATTTGTGTGTGCCTCATAGTTAAAGCTACAAAAAGATATCAGTTTGATCAAGGTCCTTTGTGTATTGAAAATAGAAATGTAACATCTGATATCCTGACACAGCCTATCCACAGTGACGCTGCTGACAGAAACATACACGGATGGTGAGGACACTGTCAATTGGCAGAACAAAAATAAATCTGTCTTGCATGTCCTTTTTACAAAGCTTAAGGAAAGGGCTGTTTCATAAAATATTTTCGTGGTGGATAGAGTAGAATATTTGAGATTTTAGTTCTGTTTTGCATTTGTTTTTTGTAAACACATTGGTTTACATTGGCAAACTCTGAAGGTCAGAGACCCTGAAGAGTTATGTTTGTGCAATGGCTTTGTGGAAGGACCTGGTCAGTTTGGGGTGATAGCTCATGATGCTACATGAATAACTAAACTCACCTGTGCAGGCTGAGTGAAGTGGAAAAAGTGTGCACATTGTGCAATGTTGTGTGCAAAGGATTAAAAGGTAATGAGAAAAGTATTTTTTTAAATGTTAATGTTCTTTTTTTTTAAGAACAGTGTATTTCAGTGTATTCTGCTGCCTGTGTTAAGTTGGTGTTAAGTCACACCTGTTAGTTGCTGTGTGCCTCAGAAGGTAACCCTGGCAGCTGCAGAGCTGTCCTGGAAGCAGAGGGATAAAAGCACCTGACTGGTTTTGGTTTGTGTTCACAGTTCTTGTGTGCAGCCACGAAGGGAGCAGCCGGAGATGTGGTGGGCAGGGGGACCTCCTTTCTGGTTCTCTTGGAGTCTTGGCACACTGGGCATTTGTTGCTGGAGCTGAAAAAACAAATGGGTATGAATATTAATTAATAACTTAATTGCTGTCAGTCTGTGTTCACCTATGGCAACTGTTGCAGACCTGCTATTAAATGAATTTCCAAATGAAATTGGAAATTTTGGTGAGAAAGTATCCATGTACTTTTAAAAAGTATAAGGGTGTTCTAGAACAGTCTACATAACAGTAATAATTTTACTAAGACAAGCCCTTCAGTAATCTAACATCTCCCAGGTCTGGGGCAGAAGAAGAGCCTCTGGATCTGTTCATAAGGACATTTATGTATGAGGTTTGTGTTTTCAAAACATTTGAATGTAGGCAGAAAGTAGAAAGGATAAATAAGTGGTAGTCATTGACAATAGCATCTCTGTAATTCAAAAGACATGTTGTTTGGCTTTGTTGTTTTATTTTAGTGAATCCTTCTGCATTGTGGCTGTGTAATTCAGGGGGGCAGGTATGTTGAAACTTGGAAATAAAATACAATTTCAAAGAGAGTAAATCTTTTAAGGCCAAATGGCAGTCCACTCTGGTTGTACATAAAACAGCCATGCAGATGGCTTTTGGCTTTTTTAGTTAAACGATGTCAGTTCCTGTGAAGTAGCTGGTTCAGATAGTCATGGAGTCTTTCTGTGCAAGCATCAGCTTTAAATAAAGTTGAAAGGAATGTTAGCAGTCAGGGAGTTCAGTCCCTCTTCTCAGTAAGTCAGGGGCTATGGAAGCTTGAGGAGTGCAGACCTGTAATCTTAGGGATGCTGCATGTGCACAGAATCAGATATCCCTGGGAGGTATCCAGGCTGTGTTTGTGTTACCACAAGGGCACTGCACAAGGTGCCTCAGGCTTCAAAATTCTGAAGTCTAACATATACAATCTTGGTTTCCTTTGTCATTCTGGGTATCTGAATTTGCAGCTGCCACTAAAGGAGGAATTCTGTTTTAAGTCATTAAAAGAGTGACTTCATTTTTGCATGGGGTACAGCACAGCAGTATTAAATTGTTGGAGAGATTAGCAAACACAGCATGTGTTTTCCAGGCTCTCCTGACTTGAGCTCCTGTGGCTTTTCTAAACAGCTTGCTCAGAAACTCCTTTATTTTATAGATGAAGGAAAAGTGTAATTGGCATCAGCAGTGCATTGTGTGTCCTGCAGTGGTGTTAAGGTGACCCTTCACAGACACCTGCTGTACCAATCCTGCCTACCTCATGTGTTGCAGGAAAGGAGGAGCTTTTTGGGTTCAGTGAGTCAGGGCATCCTCTTGGAGACTGCACTGCAGGCAGTCCAGCCAGTTCCAGCTTGTGCCTGGGTCTGTGCAGAGAGGTTTCCAAGCACTGAGACTGTGCTGGCTTTCAGGGGTGCTAGTGGCACAGTAGGCAGGATTCCTCACTTGAGAATGCTGATGTGTTTGGTGTTTTAGCTGCCTTGAGCCCAGGGGCCTGTACACAGCTCTTGTTTCTTCTTTGGGTTTCCAGGATTAACTCTCAAGGTGCCTTAAGTGCTCCTGCACCTTGATGAGTACATGGAAATTTTGCTTATGTAGCACCTAATTGTAAAGTCATGTCCTGCTTTGTCTGTGTTTTACATTGGAATCCTTCACAAAATTCTCACTTGGCAGAGGAGTCAGGAGGTCTTCAGTGTGTTCCAGGCTGCAATGCTCAGCTGAAGCTGGGCTTTGTGAGGTTTCTGATCTTCCAGACCTGAAGCACCGCACTGGCTGCTGAATTGTTCTGCAGTTGTTTTCTGTTGGAAGGCAGCAGAAGTGACTCCCATGGCCCAGCATGTGAAAAGATGCTTTTGGTGAAGGTGAAAGGTGGAGGTGGCTCTGGACTGTGCTGGCTTCTCTGGGGGAGGTTCAGCATTGCAGGTCTGGGTCTGGGCACACCCTTGGGCAGTTCATAAGTGTGTAGGAGGCATCACAGCAGTAATGCCTTTAGCTTGTGTTGTGGTCTTCACTTGCCACTGTACCCCTTTCAGGCTGATCTAATGAAGGCCCTGGAGCAGTCTACACTCATCTCTTGTGTGCATCCCCATGACCTTCCCCCACCCCTGCAAGATAAAAACTAAATGGAGTTACCAAGAGAATGGAAAGGGGTTGAAAGGCTGTCTGGTGAGCCTTCAGTCTTCCTCTGAAGGACAGCATGAAGCTTCACATCAGTGAAACTAGACATGGAACACCTTCCCCACTTTTTAAGCCTGTTGGCCATGGTGGTGTTTCTCACTCAGTCACATGCTGTGCCATGGGTAGGGAAGTATTTGATTAAAAATATTCAGACAGAGATGCTCTGCAGTGCAAGAGTGAGAACGCTTGCTTAAGAGGCCTTCCTGGCAATGCTAACATTTATGGGTATAAAGATGATGTCCACCACCTCACAGATTGCACAGAAGTGTTGGGATTCTCTTTATAATGTTGTTTTTTGGTTTCTTTCCTTTCAGTCAAAATCCCTTTCTAGTGGCTGCATTTGGAGCTTGCTCTCTCACAAGGCAGTCTAACCAGCAAGCCTTTCAGAAATTTGGACGTTCAATGACAGCCTCTGACATGGTTTCAGAAGTTGGAACAGCTTTTAACAAACTTTTTGAAACCTGAAGCCAAAGCAGCAAAGAAGAAAAGAACAATGACTGCAAGAGTAATTACATGTACCGTAGATTTTACATAATGCACCCTTTCAAGTGCTATAGCAGCATTGGTATGTTAGGTAGATTTTTTTATTTTTAAGAATAGAAAAAATATGATTAATGTAGATATTTTTTAAGAGTTTGGAATACAAAACTGTTTTGGCTGAAATAAGCTGTAGTTGCAGATCTGTTATAATATAATAAAACTAAACTGAAAGTATTCCTCTGTTCTTTTTGATAGTTATTGAGCAATAACTAAAGTGTGAACAGCAAAAAAAAAAAAATGCACTTGATACTTAGATAAAATTCTTCCACCAGCTCAACTGAATTTCTTGGATTTCACCAAGGTTGTCACTTGTCATTCTTAGACCCTCTGTCTAGAATTAGCTATTGCACTTCATTTTTTGCCATGCTAGTAGAGTAAGAAGCAAAAAGTAAGCCTCTTTGGAAAGAGAATGCATGAGAATTGCTGTAGATTTTGAATGTAATTAGTTGCCTTTTCCCATTCCTGGTCCTAGAGGCAGCATTCATTTAGACAAGGCATCCCTTCCTGCAACGTCTTGTTATTTTTTTTTAAGGTTCTCCCTTGGCAGAATAAAGATATGCTATAGATATCATGGCAGTAAAATTCTTTAAACAGTAATTAGGCTTACCTGGAAAAGAAATAAATTTCTGTTTCTTTATCTTGACTAAATATAATGAACCTGTGAAATTGTCATTTGGAGAGGTACAAGGTGGGGCACGAAACTCGGTGGCACCCAGCAGAACTGGTTCAGCCCTCAGTGATCATGGAACAGTGAAGTGTTTCTAAAACTGCAGCTGCCTGCTGGGGTAGAGCTCAGAGCAGCCCAGCACACAGATCTGTAGGTGACAGCAATGAGCCAGCAGGAACACACCTTGAGGAACAAAAGGACCCCAGGGTTTGTACCTGTAGCTTCACAGCACAGTGTGCTGCAAGTCAAAGGCAGGAGCAGAAACAGAGTGGTCAGTGTTTGAGCTTCAGGTGCAGTCCTTAGCACAGCAAAAAGCAGAAGTTTTTAGAGCAAAAAGCATAGAGGCTTTTACTTATATTTGCAGGACAAGACAGACACTGTCAGGGCCACACTGATCTGGCACACTGGCAGAGCAGGCAAGCATTAGGTGTTAAGCAGAACTTCTGTGGGATTTTGCACAGGACCATTCCTTAAAGTTTTGGAGATTTAGTCAAAGCTTGTAGAGATTGAACCTGATTGGAGAGGGAGGCAAGTTCATGCAAAGTAAATTTAAATGGCTGCTGCCCTTGACCCTCCACTCCAGCTCCAAGAGTTGCTGCTCACTAAAGCTCTGGAACAAGCACATAATGCATCTGGTTCCTGCAGGGGATGTTCCTGCTCAGCACTGAAATGCTCTCAGCTGCAATGTGGTGTCTCAGACCAGTCAGACTGTTCTCATTCCTTGCAATAGCTGCCTGCAGAAAGCACCCAGAATTGGAAAGGCTACTCCAAGTATTTCCCTTCAGCCCTTAGGAGTTGGTATTTATGGATGCACTGTGACTACTACCTCACCCTGACGCATTTTTTTCTTTTTAAACCAGTTACCTATTTTTAAAATAGGTTTTTAAGTGTTTGCTTGTGTTGCTCTATGAGGGTTCACAGACTACTCTTAAGAAATGAGGTTTTAGTGTTTAATTTAAGCAGTTTTGTAAACTGTGTCTTTGGGGAAACGTAAGCTATTAATCCTCCCCTTAAATGTATTTGAGAAACCTGACGACTTTTAAATTAAATCAGAAAGTTTAAACTGATTTTTAAAATAGCTACTGCCTTTAAAATAAGTGATTTTTTTCTTTTAATTAGAACATCAGTGGTATTATAATCTAAATGATGAGTAGGTGAAGTCAATCAATTAACAGAGCTCAGTACAGATTTCAAATTGCCCTGTCGGTTTTAAAGCTACACAGAAGTTGTAACTCCGTTATTCACTAATGTATATGAATTGTTACAATTTTTAAACATTCTGGAAATGTAGCAGTTTCTTTTGGTAGGAAATAAAAATAATAGCAAATTGACTGGACTTTGTTTGGTGTGTGCTGATCCCATTTCCCACAGCAGCTGAGCTGCTGCTCACCATTCACTCTGTTTTGCTGGCACAAAACTGCCACGAGCAAATGTACAATACCAGCTGTGTCAAATAGGCACCTGTGCCCCAGGGCTGAATGAAGAGACACCCCACTCTTCTCTGGAAGTACAGATAAAGGAGAAAGGAAAAAGGGCTACACAATTAATTCTCAACAGTATAAAAGAAAGCCTTTATCCTTTTGAACAGACACTTTGAAAACACACAAGTGCCATGTAGATGAACCCATGTTCTTGGTTCTTATGTTTTTTGTAAATTGATTTAAAGAAAGTGCAGGTACCAGGTAAGTACCAGCCCTGTATCAACACAGGCCCTAGAACACAGCTCACCTCAGGTGTAAGAGAGGCTCTGCCCACAGCCACAGCAGCCATGGCCAGCAAAAAGGTAACTGAACAGGTAAAAAATAAATATACTTTATACTAATATATATACTAATACATATACATCTTAATTTTATCTTCCCAATTCTGGAGAGATCCTGAGAGTGCTACACTCCCAGTGCTACAGAAGGCCCCTTGCATTCTGTGCAAAAGCAAACAAAAGTACCAAGCCTTACAGGTAACTGGATACCATCACATTACAGGTAAAGGTTTTCCAGGATCAAAGCAGCACCACTGCAGTAAGAAAATACCTTGAGGTTAAAAGTATCCCCCCTTCCTGTGTCTGAGAGGACAGAATTGTCAGACCAAAGGCATAAAATTTTAGTGTTTTCATCCTAAAGACAGGCCTAAGTTCTGGCCTCTGCCTTCACAATGTTTAAACTCTGTGTCAGGTCAGCAGCACGGGGTGAGGGCAGATGGCAGAGCCTTTGGGCTGGGGCAGTTCCTGCAGCAGAACAGACCCAGGCCTCATGGTGTTAAATCAGCTCAGCTGCTCCTGTGCTGCCTTGCATTGTGGATGCTTCCACCACCTGTGCTGCAAGGCCTGTATTTATTTACCAAGTACTAGTGCAAACAGTTTTGCTCAAATTACATGCTATCCTTTTTAGCCATTCTGTTCAACAGATTTTATTTTGAAAGAATTAGTATTTACAACAGTTGCTGAAGTAGCTGAGATAAAAAACAAGCCCAAGGATGAAGGATCAGCTTTTTTTCTCAGTCTGCTTCTCTGTCTGCCCTCCTTCCACAATTTCCCAGGTTGAAACAGCAGCTCTGTCCTGTAAGAGAAAGTAAGCAGGTCAGTCCAGCCCAACTGGATCACAGGTTTTTTAACCAAGATTCACTCAGCAAAGCTATTCATCCAGCTGAGCAAAAGAGGTGGCAATACAATCTCACAGGAATGCCACTGCTACTAAAAATGCTCAGAACAAAACTAGACAATTTTTCCTAATTTGGAGGGAAGAAATACAGAGTAGAAATGTCACCTCTTAAGCGTGGAATGCTGCAGTGAAGTGCAGCCTCTCACATGAGGAGCTACACTCAACTCATGCAATCCTATTTTCAAGTCTCAATGGCTCATGTTCCTGAAAAAACACTCAATACATATGAATGTATTGCTGAACATGTCTGATCTGAACTCAGGACAGAAGCCTGTTGATTTTAGTCTCTGTAATGTGATACTGTCATAGTGCTGAAAGGCGATATTACAGCTAAATTGAACGTTCTATTTAGAACCAGCTGTTTGATTGCACTGGTTGAAAATAAAAGTTAATCTGAGCATTGACACACAACAACATTCCATGAGTGCTGTCTCATGAGAGCAGCTGGAATTGTTGAATCTTTTTTTTACATGAAAATGAAAATTTTTTGACGCCTAAATACATTTCACTTGGTACCATAGCTTCCAAGCATGCCACAATGACAAGAAAAAAAACATGGATTTTTTTAATCAGTCTGTTGCAAGATATGTAACTTCAGCCAACATCCTTTGCAACGAGCAACCTGACAGAAGAAACCAGACTAGGGAAATCACAAGCTAGAACCCGAAGGAGGAACTACCTTTTCTACAAAACTGACTTTAAGAAAATTAAGCTTTATTCAAGCCCCTCTCTCTGCCCTGCCTCCAACCAGGGGCGTTCCCAGTCTGCACTGGATGGAGCTGTGGCTTGTTTCCTTCATCTCTTCTGCTGCTTTTCCACCTGCACATGGGCTTCAGAAGTTGCTGGCTTGCTTGAGCCTCACATGACAAGAGGGCAGTGTGTTGGCATTAATACATGCACAGTGTGAGGCTCAAATATTTTGTGGGAAGGAGGGGCTGGGCAGAAATCAGAAATTCACTTAACTTCCTCAAGGCATTACTAGGCAAGCGGGACCCCTGTTAGGTGCTGTTTTACCACTGCATTTCTGGCATCAGCTGACCCAGCCAGGCAGACTCATGATGAGCAAGAGGGTGGGGATAGCCCTGCTTTGTGTAGGCTGTGTCTCCTTGCACACATGCTTTGGTGAGCCTGTGTGAGGAATTGCAGAGCTGCATCACTCAGCTTGCAGGACTCTGGGATCTGGAAAAGTAAGGTGAAAGCTAACTTCACAACACACCTTCAGATACTTCCACAGTATCAGCAAAAAAAAAAAGCAGGAGTTCAGCTTTGGATGCTTGCTCTGTGTTCCTAAGTGCATTTGTGCTTTGTCTTCTGGAGCAATCTAGTCTGGGACAGATTATGCTGAGCTTCATGTTATTAAATTTTTTTTTAATTAATGGAATGGTTTGAATCCTGGCTCATTTGTGGGGTTTTCAAACGTAAATCTCCTTAAAAACAAACCAAAACAGATCTGCAAGAGGATGGAGGTAGAGCAGCAGCATTTTCCCAATGGATGAAAAGGCATCTTCTCCAAGACTTTGTCTCAGCACAGTTGTTTGGATTTGCAAACTTGCTTGGCAGGTGAGTGCGGTGGGGATTTACAAACAAGTTAAAGGAAGGAGATGTTGCAGCTTCCCTTTCCTTCCCCAGCTGCAGCTCTGGCCCTCACCCCGGATTTTGCCGGCACTTTTGCTGCCATCCAACAGAGGAGAGCACTGAGCATGCTGTGCTCCAACAGGGGCGGTGACAAGTGACAGCCCTCATGCTCAGCAGCTGGAGCCATGTGTGCTGTCACTCCCTGATGTCACTGTACTTTCCATCCTTCCAGTGGCAGAACTATGGAACCAGACTTGCCAGCATCAGTTCCCAAGGAAAGGAAAAATGAACAGTATAAACTGGATGGAGGGAGAGAATGTGGAGGATTATTCTGCACTCAAGGAGCTACAGTGACCCTTGCCTCACAGAGGCAAGAAGGACAATGGCCAGGAGGAACTAGAAGAAGCAGCACTTAGGAAGTAATGCAGGTCCTTGGAACCAGGAGAAGGCAGTAATGCCATAGAGGGTCTTTTCCTAAGCCAGAGATGCCATTGAGATAATGGAAAAGAACACTGGCATTAGGTGTAGGCTAAAAGTAGAAAGCAGTTTAGAGAGAGGAGCGGTACAGAAATCAGGCAAAGTTCCTGTGGCTCAGGAACAAATGGGAATGCTGGAGATGGAAAAGGCTTTCTCATGAAAACTTATTTTTGGTGGGGAATGTGGGGTAGATAGAAGGAAGGTATTATTTTCACAAGTCATCTCGGTTTACTTTCCAGTTCCTTTGCAATCTTTTTTAAGACTGCACACATTACTCACACCCTTCCTTCTGGACTGAACTTGGGCAACTTAGGGATTTCTGAACATTATGAGATTTTCATATTATGAGTGGCTTGCATGGAAACACAAGGCTGAGGGGGAGCAGAAGAGAAGGCAGTAGTATAGCCAAACAAGGGCTTGACTTACACCTCCAGCTACTGCAGTCACACAGGGAGCAGGGCACCACAACACAAGCTACTGAAGGGGAATGAAGGACAAAAATGTGTGTTAAAAAGTGACTGAAAGTCTCACAAAGAGAGTTACTGTCTTCTACCTTTATGTGGATTCCAAAGGCAGCAAGGTCTCCACGCAGACTGTCACAAGCCTCCAAGAGGGGCTTTCTCTCCTGCATTAAGTGCTTCCTCTTTTCCTTCTGCTCCTGTTTGGATCCCTGGGCTCCTGCTGCACCCTCCACTGGCGCAGCGTCCGCTGCTTCGGGCAGAGCCAGCGCGTAATGCCGGACCTTGGAGCGGAACCTCACCAGCTCCTCAATGACATTGGACAGCACTGCAGACTTGTCTCCTCCCACAGCCACCTAGAAATCAAACAGGGGGCTTTACAAACATCTGAGTATGATATTAAAAAAATCAACCCCATCTCCATAGCAATGTGAGTCTTTATCACCTCTCTTGGTCATGCATCTTCCACATATTGGTAGGATTAAAATGTCACCATCTCACTAATGCTGGACCAAAAGTTACAGTGGAGTCATACTTGCAAGTAATTCAGCATGTTTCTGCACAAGACAGCATTTACCTTGGAGGAGAGAGCTCTCACATGAACACAACACACTGCATAACCCAAGGGGGGAACTCATCTCCACAGGAAACCTTTGAGATGCCAGAAATGTACATAACTTGAAAAGGGATCTGACAAGTTAATGTAAGAAAGGCCTGGCAACAGGAATCCAACACAGCAAGAGAAGCCTAGCCACCAGCTCAGACAGCTCCTTGGCTGTAAAACTCCAAAGACAGAGAATACATCAGCCCCTTAGTCAGTCTTTGAGCTCCAGACCTCCTTCAGGAAACACAAACCAGGAAAAGTATTTTGCCTTTAAGTCTCCAGTCCATCCTATCCTTTCTCCCTTCATCTACAGAAACACTTCCCAAATCCACAGAACTTTCATCTGATCCATCTTACCCAAAGTTTCAGCCACTCAAAAAAACCTGAGAGAAGCAGCAGCTACTGCACACAGGGTGTGGATATTTCCTGGCTGCAGCTGAGCCCCTTCCTCCCCTCAGCCACCTCCAAGCATCCTAGGCCTCCTCTGGCTCAGCAGGAGCCCCGCTGGTCAATGCCTCAGGAAAGGAACAGCCTCAGTCCTGCTCCAGCAGCTGCCAGGATGGGAGCTTGGCAGGCAGCTGAAGAGGAAAGCCACTCCTCAGCACTGGCACAGCCAGGCTCCTGGTCTCACTCCTGGCAGAGACACCATCTATGTTTCTCATTAGAGGCAAACTCCCGAGGGGAGGAAAAGGACAAACCTCCAACAAACAAGAGAACCTCACCGCAGTGTTTTATCACTAGGACATGAGAGTGGGAGCACAAAGCACACCAAGGCCTGGGGCAAAGCTCCTGGCAGCAACATCACCAGGCAGCAGAAGGGCAGCTGAGTAATTAAAGCCAGAAGGGTCTGGGTTTAGTCACCAAACAGCAGGATGGAAACGAAAGGGAGCAGAGCTTCAGAGGTCACAGGCAAAAAAGAGGAGCAGGAGGAGAAGTGAGGGGGCAGCTGTTGAAGACAAGAGTGTGAAATACAGTGAATTCCTCAAGTGTTCAAAACATGTAGCCATACTAAAGAAGAAGTTTATGAGCTTGAAAAAGGTAATAAATCTAAGTGTCAGAAACACTCCCCAGTAACCTGTGGCAGGATAAACACTTAAATACAGAAGGGAAAGCCACGATGATGGGAGCAGGAAACATGCCTCTACAAACACCACTGAAAGAGTTCAAACCAGGCACCTACTGGAGTGAGAGCCTTCAAAAGGAGAAGCAGCTTTAGGAGATGAACAAATCTGCCACATAAAACAGCCTCTCAGGGCTGATCTCAAATTTCTGGCCCTTTCTTACTCCACAGACTGGTCCCAGCTGCACCTGCAACACACTCAACACTGCACTCTTTGGGAGAGCAAAAGCTTCCGAGCTCTAAAACAGGCACAATGGTTTTCACTCATCACCTTTCCACATGGATTCATCTTACCTCCCTGTGGATAAGATCTCTTGCCAATGCAGAGAGACAGGCTCTGTTACTGTCATACAGCCACTAGACTGAGATGAGCCATTCCTTAGCATCCCAACTGATACTTCAGAAGCACAGGCAGCTACATTAGGCTGATTAGCTGAGATGAATCCCAGCCCAGGAGCAGGACAGACCCACAGGCTACATGCAAACATCCAAATGAGGGGGTCCAAACACTGCTGCCTGTATCCTCTGCACTGTCAGCACAGCAGTGTCCAGGCCAGGCAGCCCTCTCCCACACATGGCAGCACGCACTGTGGTCAGGGACTGCTCCTGGCAAGCTGCATGCCTGGGGCTACATGGCTAAGGGGCAAGAAAGGCTGGATGCTGAGCTGTTCTGGCTGGTCTCAGAGTCAGGGAACAATCCCTACACCATTTTATTTACTAAATTGTGGTAGCCCATGGACCTTTCTGATGAAGATTTTGACACATGTGTTTACTGGAAGCTGAAAGAGCAGAGGAACAGAGAGGAGTCTGATGACTTGCTCCTTTCTTCCTGCTTATCTCAGACCAGCATCTTCTGCTGATCGTCCTGCCACACAGAGAAAGGGACTAGCATAGCCTAAAACAAAGAAAAGCATTCAGAGACTTGTTTCAGCAAAAATATAGGTGCAACAGATGCCTGCATACAGACAGCCCAGAATCTGGAGGAATGACTTTGCCATCCAGCTAACAAAAAAATATGTTTAGTATGCCACTAAAAATTAACATGCAAACTACAGGCTGTGAGGAGTAACACACAGCCAAATCACATCCAGACACTGTTTTGAAAGAAATTTTGTGAGAAAATCCATGGAGGCAAACTAAATAAAAACATTTACCACTATACTGCCTGATTTTCAAAGGATGAATAATGTTGGATTTTCTTACTCTCTTGTCCTCCTCCCCAAAATAACTGTTCTGTTTTGCAGAACACTTTCTCTATAGAAAGTTTTCCACTACTTTGCATTCAGCTGCATATTTGAGCAGGAGAGGAGCAAAGAACACCCTGCTATTCTCCAGCACCTTGTGTCATTTTAAATGCTTCCATACATTGGGATATCACCTCCATATTGATGACTCTTTTTTCCCATTCAGTACTTTCTTTGAGCTGTTCTCTTCTTTTTTTCTCTCCCCATTCCTACCTTTCCAAGAACTAGTTATGTAAACTCATTGTCCTTCCCTCCCCATATCCCATGGCTCAAGGCAGAGCAGCCCCTTTCCCTGGCTTTCTGCAGAGGAGTGGGACCCCTCACAACTGCAAATACTCACACAGCTATCAAAGCCAGCCTGGATGCAACCATCAGGAAGAATGGGAAAAGCTGGGGAAAGCCAGACACATAACAGGATGATTTAACTGCCTCCAAAGCTAACTTCTTCTTGTTTCATTCCTCAGTCTTTCATTTCCACAGCAAAACTGGTGCAGAAGTCACATGGGAGCACCTCCAAGAACTAAAAAGCCCACATTTTGTTCCACCTGCTCAAACATTCTCCTAAAACATCACAGGAGAAAGTGCAAGCAGTGCAGAAAGATTTACTAAAACCATAAATAACTTTGTTACATCTGATGCTTTCAGAAAGCACTCTATGAACCACAGGGGCTGCTACCACATCCTCAAACACATAGAAGAGATATTTCATTACCTGTCTTTCCTCAAAGGACATCCCAAGGGCACTGAAAAAGCCTTCAATATAGGAAATAATGCTTCCATACACAACAGAGCTTCTAGGAGATCCAGCATCCTGTTAAGAAAACACTCAAAAGAGATTGTCCAGTCAATACATATTACAGAGCTCAGCATCTCTCTGCAGCCTAATCCACAAGGGAAAACTGCTACTAATTATAAAGATCTACCTCCATCAGGAACACCTGCCCAGACAAGCAATCTTACAGAGATACAAAAGCACCTCACAGCACAAAGAGAAGGGATTTAAGTACACAAGGGAAGGGAAGAGCTGATCACCAGCCTGTGCAGCAAGAAGAGATGTGAGAAGCAGCCACACATTACATGTGTGCAGTAAATTAGAACTAAAAATAGCACTCTGGCCATGAAAGGGCTGTGTGTACGGAAACAAAATAAAAAGAACTAAATCCCACATTCATGGGCACCTATAATATAAAAGATAAAGACCAGATTTTTTGAGTATCTTATTGATTTGATCCATTGTGAGACTGCTTTGAGAAAGTGTATGGCATTTTGTCACACCCTGGCAGCACCAGCAATCAGCAGCAGCAATAAAATAAGGATTAAATTACAGACTGAGGAGCCATTTAAGGGACTAACCCTTGCCTAAAAAATAAGAGCGATGACATGCACAAGCAAATCAGCAGCTGGTACTGGATTTTATCTGACATCTTCACTGGGGCCTGAGATAAATTATAGTCTAAAATGTATAGGAAGGTCTGAACTGGGAGGAGTTGGAGCAGCCACTGGGAGAAAGGAACAGAAGTGTGCTATCTAAGGTGAGAAATGCTTAGCAGGAAGGCTAAAGAAAGGAATAAGTAGTTATGTGGATTTACTCACAATTCTTAAGGAACTTTACTACACCTGTAATAATAAAGAGGGAACACTCCAGACAGCTGGGATGTACCCAGAAAAGCTCCACCACCTCAACCAGAAATCTGAGTCAGCTGCCCCACAAATACCCCATCCCATTCTCAACAATACAGCTGACAGGAGGAATTCAGGGGGAACAAGCAGTGACTGACAAAATGGGGGTAGTTGTACCTAGGAGTGGCAATGCCATTACAGATCCTTGCTGCAAAGTGTTTCAGGTCAGGGATTCACTCAGATTGTAAAGATCATTTGTAATGATAAGGCTAAGGCTAATCTGTAAAGATCTGCTTATTTGTAAAGATAAGGCTAAGGAGAAAATTGAAAGCCAATGCCAAAATAGGACAAGACAGGCTAATTCTCTCTTAAAACTAGTTATTACCATGTACATAACACTTCTTTTACTGCACAAACATGGTGAACGTGATGACACCAGTACTCAAGGAGCACAGCAACAAGGCTGAGGTGCTCACCTTCAGTGACAAAGGGAGCTGTGGTAAATGGAGAACCCAGAAGTGCTTCAGGCAGTGTTTACTGCTCAAGTCTTGTCCTTAGCAGATTCTTTATTTGTGTCAACATGAGAGATCTTAACAGGGTCCTAATTTGCCAAAAGTCATGTGAAGACAGGCTCATGCTGATGCCAGTTACAGAAGACAGCAGAAGCCACTCAGTCCCCAGCACTGAACTCACCACCAAGACTGTCCAGTGCACCTGGGGCTGCTGGCCAAAGCCCCTGCAGCAACCACCCCACACCCTTCCCAGTCTAGCTTAATTTCTGTGCATGGGCATTAAGCAAAGAAGCAGGGTAAGAACAGAGAACCAGCACTAAAATTAGCAGCATGTCACAACAGCCTCAGGACTTCCAAAAGCATTAGGTATAAATAATATAGGGTAGCAGGAAAGAAACATCCTCTGGACACAACAGAGCACAAAACAATAGCCATGCACAATTCCTGTGATAGGGTCAGGACAAACGGGCTCCATTAAGGTCAAAAATTTATGGAGCTTTGTTTCTGCTGGTTTCTTATGTGAACAATAAACTAATCTGTCTGCATTAAGCAGTAGGACAGTGGACAGCTGTCATTTTCTGATCTCTGTATCCTAATGGGTTACCTTAGTAACAGCCTTAAGCTGTCTGTTGCCATGGTGAATGAGGTCCATAATTGCTGCAACAGCCCTGGAGGTGTCAAAGTCATCTGCAAACGCAGCCTTCACGGTTACTTTTGTGCTGGCTAGCCTTCAAGAAGAAAAGGTAACATTTAAGATAAGACAAACAAGATGCCAGCAGTACGCTGAATTCATCAGCCATTCAGCCAGAGGGAGTCACTGAAAGGACACTGCCATCTCCTTCCCAGCTGTCCTGTGATGGGCAGTGCTGCACTCATCAGGGAGAATACATCTTTTGCTGTGAAGGGAAAAATTTGATGCCTGTCAAAATCCTAAGTGTTATAGCCATTCAATAAATGTACATGGCTAATCAGAGGGGCCAACAACAACAGAGCAAAGTTTGCCTTAAATCATTTAAAAACAGATGGAAAATGAGACTGATAATAGGCATTTCAAAGATCTTACTGAGTTCTGTTTTTTTTTTTCCAGCAGCCCATTAATCCTGCTAGCAGCATGCTTCTCTTCCAAAGGCACATCACAGGCAGTTCTCAGGGCCTGGCAAGAAAGCTGTCCTGGGGCTGGCCAAGAATCCTGCTGGCAGGATCCAACTCAGAACCAAGCACTGGCTCCTCATCTCCCAGGAGAGCCCAAGCCCAGTCCCAAGGGATTGCACTCTCCACGGCCCAGATGGAAGGGTCCAGTGGGACCATTTGTGTAAGAGTGCCAAAAGCCAGTGGGCAACCAGCAGAGATCAGCACAGAACCAGCAGCAGCAGCTGCAGCCACTGGAGAGGGAGATGAGAGAGCAGCAGGGATAAATGGGGAGCCACAAACAGCTGCTGGCAGAGTGCTCCCACACACAGCCGGGTGAACCAGAGCTTGACAGTGCTGCCCCAAGGATGCCATTTCCCAAAACAGTGCAAGGAGCAGGGGAACCTCAAGCTGTTCTAGCATCTCTGGGGCTCTCCTGAGCCTCATTTTCCCTGTTTCTGTATTTTTTTGCCTGGAATGCCTACCTCCCCTCAGATACTGGATGGCTGCTGTTCTAATTCATCCTTCCCAACACTTTTCCCTGCAAGCTTCCCCCTCTCCACTGAGTATCTAACACTTCACTAATTAAGAGCTTTGTTTCATTTTGGTTGTTTTTACACCTAGGAATACACAAGTTGTGCCCTCCCACACATCCCCTACTGATTATCCATTTCAACTTCCTCACACCTCTCAGCTTTATCTTGCACCAACAGATCTCCTGCAGCCCCCTGCTGAAGGACTCGCTTTTGCCAAATACCACAGCTAGTTAATGCAACCCCACTTTCCTGTAATGTGCTTCAGTGCCCCTTGCAACCCTCAGTTAGTGTTCCCCAGCAGTGAGGTACCTGAGCCACAAGAAGCTGCCTCTCACTCCACAGCCCAGGCTGTCTCCCCTCAGACTCTGCAGCCCAGAGCTGCCTGCACTAACCTTGCTTCAGGGCACTCAGTGTCCCTCCTACCCTGGCTCTGTGCTCTGCTCTCATCTTTGCACACAGAACACAGCACACCTCAGTCCTGAAGATAATCTGGTTTTCATAATGGACTCCAAAGGATTCTCCTCACCATTGTCAGGATCACAACAATTGTAATTGCTTCCTGCCCAGTGACATCCCTGCCCCTGGCCAGCCTCTCAGTAGCCCCTTCTCTCCTCTGCTGCACAGCACAGTGCCAACCAGCCTGATTACAAATCCAGGTGCCCAAGGTGTGTCACTCTCCAGCGATCCTCTTTCTTCTCCAGTCACCACAGCCCAGCTCAGTTTACAAACTGGGGACCCTCACAATTGCCACAGCTCTGCCTCCTGCATTGCCCACGAGGGGCAAAGATGCTGTGTTAGGACAGGCGCACCAGAAAAGTAACACAGATAAACACAGTGAACTGAGGATAGCAGACTAAGAGCAAAAACAGCTGGCTAGGAAGAGAATTTTTTAAAAACCTGCCCTTGGTTTTTGGGCTGGGAGGGAGGACTGCTGCTTGGTCCTTCTCATCCTGCTGCTTAAACAGAACCTCTGAGTCTGTCAGCCAACTACTGCTCACATAATCACAATCTTCTAATACAGGAACTGCACTTACCTTTCCCACAATATGTCTTCTCTAACAGGGTCACACACCAGCTGTCCTTTTATATAAGCATTTGCATCTCTAATAAATGAGGAGATTGCCTGAAGAAGGTTCTTTGCATCTTCCATGCTCTCCTCACTAAATTCTACTGCTAAGAAAAAAGAAATCAAGGCATTATGATGGAAACAATGTTGTCTGTCATACATAGGAACAGTATTTGGAGACAAAGGAGAAGTTTGTTATTATTTGTATAGCAAACTTCTCACAATTAATTGCACATTTAATTAAAAGCTCCATTCTTCATGCACACCAGGAAGACTAAATCAATATAAAAGATAATCACTACATATGACAAAGTATAACCGACTGGAACACTTATCAAACTGACTCAAAAAGTTGAATCTGGAAGTTTACTTAAGCAATCATTATTTAACTTTAATTTTTTTCCATTATTGAATTTCTCTGCCAAGTTATCAATCCAAATCATTAAGATTTAATTTACTTCTAAGTGTTCTAGTGATGGCAACATGTACCTCTAATTTTGTGCCTAGTCTAATTTAGGTAGACACAATCTGTATTTGGAGACATACAAAGAAGCCTAATTCTCACCTCTGACTCTGTTTAAAGGGCTGCTTCACCAACATCTAAAATCTAGATGAACCTAAAATTTGTGGTCTAGCTCCTGAACAATTCCCTCACAACATCAAAGCTAAGCTGACCACACCACTTTGAGAAAGTTATTTTTAGAAAAAATACAAATTGCTTAAACGCATAAGGGCATGTCTAGGGTGAGATTCATCACACTCACAACATATCAAAGCCTCTTATGGCCACTGAAAAGCAAGATAAAACCTCAATTCCTTGCATCCACAGCTGAGCTCCACTTTACAATGAGATATGCCATGTGCCATACAGGAACCCTACAGAGCTTCTCTTCCCCCAGCCACAGCAACATCGGCCCTGCCACTAACAAGGCATCCCTGCACACAGACATCCCCACTGCATTCAGGGCGACCCCACCACTGGCAGCCAATTCCACCTTGGGAGCTTCCAGAGTCCACTGCTGCTGGCAGGAGTCCAGCAGGTCCCCTGGCCTTGCCTGCACCCTGTGAAGTGCAGGGGTGCCAGACAAGCTCACTGTCACTTTTACTGGGAATTGCTATCAGTGACAGGCTTTTTTTTCATTTGTACAGGAATGTGCAATCTTCTGTAGAAAAGCTTTTGGATCCCACATAAGAGAGCTCACCTGAGCTCTGTGGAAGTTGTGTCTAAGTCTGAATGCACTCCTTACCCCAGGGTCACACCAGAGCCATTCCATGGCCAGAGCAGCATTGCTTCACTGTTGCACTCCTGACCTCAGCAATAAGGTACATCCAAACTACAGCTGCCAGCATATTCCTGGTATCATCAGCACTGAGCATCACCCACAGCTTCCACAGCAATCTCGCCTCTGGTCCTGCCTGTGGTGCATCCAACTGCTTTGTGGAATTACCCAGTGCTGCCCAGACAGACTCTTTAGAGCAGACAGTTCTACCAAGAGGACAGATGTAAGAGGGAAAAAGCAGCCAGATGTGAGACCCAATCTCATTTCCATTAGCCTAAATCCCAAGGAAGCCTAACTGTTTAAACAGACTTTACACAGGATTTACCCCAGTGTAACAAAGGTGTAAGTCTGGACCTGTATTTGTCAGATTTTTCACTTGTGTATAATTAAAAATCTGCATTACTGCTTCATTAAATCAAGCTTTACTCAGTTTTCAAGAAGACCAAGGTACACACCTCTATAACACAGTGAGACACTGAGAGTGATCATTTATATACATTAGGATTACCCAATTGATTAACCTGGTTACAAGAATTCTGCAAGGAATATTTGAGAAAAGTTTATCCCGATGAAACCTACTTTAGTTCAAGCCATTCCTCATCCCCTGTCCAGGGCATACTCCTCAACCACTGCCTGCAGGCACTGCAAACCCACAGTGCAGCACAGGCAAGCCTGGCCCTATGAACCTTCACTGTGCTCCCCACTCCTTCCCTCCTTTGTCACCGACAGCCTAGATAATCCCCACTGAGCTCAGCTGCACCCCGGGCAGCTCTGCCCCACCACCAGAGAGGCAGATGAAGCAGAGGAAGCTCATACAAAAATACATTATGGAAGGATCATAAAAGTCTCTTCTCTCTAACTTTCCTCCTCTTGCCCACAGGCGGGGCATGCAGCTTTGTCCTCCCTCTGACAATGATCATCACAGGAAGGGACTCCCCTCTCATGAAACACATGCACATCCTTGCACACACCCCTTTCAACCCCTGCCCCTCCAAGGCTGGGCCAGTCTGGAGTCACATTTGTCTCTATTTGTGCCTCTTAGCACACACAGAGACAGGGGGTAGCCCAGACAACCAAAAAGACCCCTTCCAAGCCAAAGAACACACAGTTTCTAGCATGAGGCATTCCCAACTGTCAGCACTGCCCTCATCCACATGCCTACAAAGATCTTTTTTACAGATTCAATCCAATGTTTGTGGTACCACCTGATCCCCAAACCTGGATTTTACAAAAGGCTTTCTTTGGCAGGTAGGAGTGGCAGGAGCCATTACCCATGGGTCTAGGCTACAAAAACCTTTTAAGAAACAAGAAGGTGCTTGAAATCTCACTTCTAATAAAAATATGAGCAGACAGCAAGATGAGAAGAAGTACAGTAAACTTATGTTTAGACCAATACTGACAGCAGGGACACAAGCTGACAGGCAGCACAGTGAATACCTGGCTCAGCAGAGACCAACTCTGGCTCTTTATGGGAAGCTAATAATGGCCTTGTAAGGTGGAGGTGGGAAGTGCAGACTTCTGAGCAACCCTTACCTGCCAGCTGCCTTACACTCTGATATGACACCAGCATATCCTTTCATCAAAGCCACCCACATCCAGACAGGTAGCACTCTTTTTCTACCTCAGGGGGGTGTTTATCCTAGAAGTAATGCAAAAAGCACAGGTTCAAATGCAGCCAGCTGACAGAGAGTGAAGAAAGCCTGCAGGCACCTCTCCATTGCAGGGCTCCACTGCCATTCCTTGTCCAGCAATGGAGAAGTGCCTGCAGGCTTTCTTAGGCAAGGTTAGAAACTACCAGACATTTAGCTCTTGCTCACATACATATGATAGTGGTAGCAGGTGTAGTCTTTCCCTTGTTTTAAACACACATTTGTTCACAACCCCCAAGTGCCCCCAGCCAGGGAGACACCTAAGTGTACACAAGGTATTTCATCTCCTAAAAGAAGCAATCAGCCAAGTGTGCCACTGCCCTGCACCATCACCCCAAAAGAGCTAAGGATGCCACCAATCCACTGCATGCCTCAACAGGATGCTGCTCTGCAGCAGACCTGTGTCACAGACATCTTTTGTGAAAAATCTTTTCTTGGGATTTTTCTCCTTTCTGAGAAACTGTAGCTTCAGAAACAAGATGTAAACAATAGTTATCTGCTGCTGTGGAATACATTAGGTTTGTCTGTGATTGGGCCATCTTGAATGTTTACAATTAATGGCCAACCACAGACCAGATAGCTTAGACTCTCTGTCCGAGACACAGACCTTTGTTATTCATTCTTTTCTATTCTTAGCTTAGCTAGCTTCTGAGGAAATCTTTCCTTCTATTTATTTTTAGTATAGTTATAATGTAATATATATATCATAAAATAATAAATCAAGCCTTCTGAACATGGAGTCAGCATTCTCGTCTCTCCCTTCACCTGAAAACCCCTGTGACCATCGTCACAGACCTGCAATTGGATGCACCCCTCTCTTTCTGTGACAGTGGCAGGGAAGTTAATAACCACCTCTCTCTTTGCTATCCCGTGCTTTGAAATACTGCAATTACTCAATTCCTGATGCCTTCAGCTGTCCTAGGAGAGGGAGGATCCACCATGAATGTCACATGGGTGGCTCCTGCAAGGCAGTTAGCAGTATGAACAAGCAGAAAGACTTCTCAGCCCAATGACTGCATGACTATGAAGACTGGCAGCACACTGCACACTGACAGGCACGAGCAGTGTCCCAGAGCCTTGGCCACACCAGCTCTCACAGTCACACAGCTACAGGTGCTTTATCCAAGGCAGACAGAGGCCCACTGGAACACCACAGCAGCTGCTGCCCCATGCTCCACCATTCCCTTGCCATGCCACGACAGCCAACAAGCCAGATGACCCAGCAGTGGTTAAGGAGCTACCATCTGCTTTTGGCAGGGCCCAATAAACTGGTAGGAACACAGACATATGAAAACCTCTTCCAGCTCAAAGTAGCATCTACCTGCTGGAAACACTATGGGGTACACAAGGAAGCTGACAAAATCTCCCCACCAGGAGAGAGATGATCTGCCAGGCTAAGGTGTTCATTATCATGTGATAAGGTTATCATGTGCTAGTCTAAGTGAGCTGCACTGCACCACAGAACTGCCTCAACACTCAGGAACTCCACATGACAAAAATGGTAACACAGCAGAGAGATAAAAAATTATTAGCCAGCCCTCATCACACTCTCTACAGGAATATAAGCCACAGCTCCATCTAGATACATCCCCAAAAACAGCGGATTGTGACTGCAATGCAAGTAACTACAACAGATGCAAATCACAGACAGAGGCAATTCATTAATTAAAAGTGCAATTAACTACGAGTCACAGCTAACTGTGGCTCAAGAAGGTATTTAAATGAATGGTTATGTAGTGTGCTAAGTAAAGAGCAGCCCCACAGAGCACCACCAAACCCTTTCCACCCGCTGCATTCAGAACTGCAGGGACCCACACGGGGAGCTCACTCCAGAGGGGCCAGTGGGAAAGGTGTGGGGAAAGCTGAGAAAGAGTGGGGAAAGTTGGGAAAGGAGTGGGGAAAGGTGGGAAAGGTCTGGGAAAGCTGGGAAAGGTCTGGGGAAAGCTGGGAAAGGAGTGCGGAAAGGTAGGAAAGGTGTGGGGAAAGCTGGGAAAGGTGGGAAAGGAGTGGGGAAAGCTGGAAAAGGTGGGAAAGGAGTGGGGAAAGCCATGCACACCTCAGCAGGGAGGGGGCTCCTCCTTACCTGAGCTGTATCTGCCACGCAAACAAAACATTCTGAATTGGTCTGATGAACATTTCTTCAGGAAATCCTAAACTCCATGCACAAAAAGACAGCTTTAGCATATCAATTTCTTCAGGAAATTTCTTTCACCCTCTTGCTTTTCAAACTAGCATGACAACGCATCTTTGCAATTTAAGACAGGCATAAAATCTTTAACACTGCTTTAAAACCTAAACTAAATAAAATTCAATTCCATATAAGATAGATGTGCATACATATAGACAAGATATAAATACACACACAATGTCCAATATAAGATAGTGAAAACTACTTTGCAAGTGCAATCAAACATACACTGTAAAAACACCTCTGCAAAGAAAACCCAAAATGAAATTATCAGACTAAGATTGGGATACAATCTTACAGAGAGGAAAGCTCCCAAGTTTTGCAAACTTTACAAAAAAATAAAAAAAGATTTATTGAAAAAGAAAATAGGTGTGCTTTTTTGCAGGATAGAATATGAAGAAACTCAGGGAGTGAACAAAGATAAATCTCAGCACTATAAAGAGAGTTATCTCTGTTAATTATGAAGACTAATAAACTCCACTCTAATATTAATCTAGCTTTACAAATAATTTACTCCAATAAACAGTAAACTACTAGTATTACTACTAGTACAAGTAATGTATATCATTAGCATACTGAGCTACTTAAATGCTTGGAAGGTACACAAATAAAACAGTCAATCACTTCCAACCCTGCTCTCAGCAAGGCTGGACACTTGTAGATTGACTGTAACTACTGCACTTCTGGTCTTTTTTTTTTTTTTTAATTTGCAATTTTTTTATTTGCAAACTGGTGAGGATCACTGAAGTGCCACAAAAATCAAAAATAATAAGAAGACAGTACAAGTGAGAAAATATGGAAAGTGTTATTTGCTTAAACCTCACATTTTGAAACAGTCTTCTGGTACAAGACTAAACCAGCCTGAACAGTGGAAAAGCATCAGCAATGTGCTGTCTCTCAAGTGAAAATAGAAATAATTGAGGCAATCACAATCAAGAAACAGTGGTACTGATTGTTTTGGTGGGTGTTTGTTTGTTGTGCGTTTTTAAAATAAATTAGATATAAATGAGTGTACCCCATATGCCAGCAGCTTCACACCAATATACAGAGATAGAACAATATGAATACAGTACAGAAATAAATTCAAATCTGGTAAAGGACCATCCAAACTAGAAAAAACAACTCTGCATTTCCTTTAAAACAGAGAACAGATGAAGAATCACAGCTCTTTGAAAGCAGCTTGCTTGGCCCTGTGTTATCACAATCTCTTTGACTTTTGGGGTTAGAATTAAATTTTTTTAATTATTTAATTTTAAATTAATCTTTTTTAATTAGCTATTTAAAAAAAGGAAAGAAAAAACTGCAGTAGGGTACAAGGGGAGGGAAACAGGGCAGCTGGATGCAGAGGATGCTGGGCTGCTGTGCCCAGGTGACAGCCTGGGATGCAGGTGGCAACTGGCTGGGCCGAGGGAAGATCCTGGACAGACCTCCCCTCTTTTGGCACAGACATAAAACCTTCCATGCAGGGCTTAACTTTCAAGGTGCAAGGCAGCTGTACAGGAAAAAATCGTTTCACTGGACTGAAAATCACTTCTCAGGAAAGATTAATACTTGTTACCCATATGTAAGGGCAGGCATGAAAAGCAGAGACCTACAAGGAAAGAGAGACAGGCCAGAAATATTTGTTTCCTCAACACAAGCTGTGCCATCATGGGGGACATGGAGAGGAACATTTTTATATGCTGCTTTTAACTCCAAGCACTGCAGTTGTGGTCATTTCTCCACCCTGTCCACAACATCTGCTGAGACATGAGATTTCTGTGAAAATTGTGAGCTCCAGGGAAACAGGGCTTAACTGTACCCCAACAGCATCAGAAGACTTAGGAATAAAGCAGCTCATATTGAACTTGATTTTAAAGGGATTTTAATTAATTTTTCCAAGAGGGCAAAGGGGAATACATATGCCAAAGCAGTTTCTCAAGCTTTGTCTAAAGGAAGGAAATCACCCTATTGCAGCAGCAGGCATCCGCCATGGTGGGAGCCACCCCAGCACAGCTGGAACACACATAGCTGGCAGAGAAACCCTGCTCTGGGCCACACCAAAGACCTGGGGACTCAGTGAAATATCACACAGTCATGTGGCTCGTGGGTATCAAAAGGCTTCTGTGCCTCAGCAAGGTCACCATATAAAACTAAAGGGTAATGGGAGACACTGCTGCAACAGCATGGTTCAGGATACCCAGCAGCTTCCTGACAAAACACTGACACTATGTCCCATTTCACCTAAAGAAGGACCAGGAAAAACATTCATTCTTTTCCAAGTCCATGCTTTTTCAAGGCATTATTAAGGATAGACTGATGAGAACCCATCACTAGAGAACAGAATCATTCAGGTTGGAAAAGACCCCTGAGACCACAAATGTACAGTGCAGGATTCTGGTACTGGACACAAACTCTGCTCCTACAAACACTCTGAGCTCAGCAAGATTCATTGTTATAAGCAAACCATGAATCTGAGCAGGTATCCTACCTCCAGATCCACAAAAACAGACACATCAGTACTAGAGAAATCCTGCAGCACAAGCACACACTCCAAAGCTTTCTCAAAAGAGGGCTGTGATTAATATTTACATATTACAAACCTACAAAATTGCTTCAATTCAAACAAAGAAATTACCTTAATTGTTATGTAGTTTTTTAATGACTTTGACATTTTTTCTTGACTTCCTTTAACATGCAAGTGCCCTATAGTAAAAGAAAAAGGGATTAGTCAGGATAAACAAGTGTGCTTCTGAATAGGGAGCAAATGAGAGAGACTGTACTGAGACACTGTGAATGTTGGAGGCAGCATGTGCTATGATGGATACATGCCAAACATTTCAATGTAATGGGGAACATTTTTCAAAAGCTTTGCCTACAGTTCTGCACACGTCTCCATTCTCAAAACTTCCACTGGGTGAATTTTAAAACACAGTCATTTAAAACATCAAAAAAAAAATACCACCCACCACCACCATGAGTCCCCCTGCTCAGAATTGACAATAAACTCATAAAAACAAGCAAGCAAATAGTTTCAGTCTTTACAAGTACTTTATCTGTTACTCTTGACTTTTCAGAACTATTTTAAGAAATATTTTCCAGTAATCTAGCATTAAAAAATCCTTAAAACTCAATCTTCTGTACTTATTACTTGCTGATGGCTGTTAACATTATTTTTTTACCCCAAAGTTTTATAGCACTGGTTCAAAATATCTTAAATGCAAAATGAATTTTCTACAGATTCTCAACTTCTCCAGACTTGTGAGACTGAGAAGAAGCAGGGTGAGGGAGGGATGCAGCTACAATATCTAACTTGAATTAGTTTATTTTGAAGTGTGATCTCTGAGCACTGCTAGAGCATTGAATAGTCACACAGATCACTGCCTTGCAGGGCTGAAGCACAGGAAAATGGTAGTAACACTGCATTTAAAAGAGTATGTAGAGCTTGGCTTTAGGACTGAAAGCTCTGTGAAAGACAGGAGAGGCATAGCCTGAGGTTGTCTGCTTCCAGGTCTCATCCACGTGAGCCATGGCAGCAACACTGACGGAAAGCACCAATTATTCACAGCACCAGAGAGATGGTAAACATCCTGCCACTGAAAAACTACTCAGCATAATTTCTGAAATGTTGTTAAAAGCCTTAATAGGCTTCTCCTAATGAAAGACTAATTCTGTAAGTTACCAACCACCCACAACTAAATGAGATTTTAGGCACATCAGTGACCTGCAGCATCTAGCACTTAATCATACTTTGAGGCAGATTTTTAAGCATAAGTTTCTCTTGCTCTGTAATACCCTACCAGCACTGCATTCTTTCACATTTGGCAGCCCAGTGCTACCAGTGCCTCAGAGTGCAAGGACAACGTATGATCACACTCCTGCTTTTATAAGTGGTGACAGAAGTGGCATTTCTTGCTCAGCAACCCATGCAACTGTCTGCATTTTGTGCTACTCACTGCACAGAGCTGCTCTGCAGCCTTGCCTGAAACCCTCTTGCTTCCATAAGTAGATAAAATCCCCATTACACTCATCTGGATATGAAAACAACAAGCTCAGGCCTGATAACTGGACCTGAAAAGATCATTGTTTCACTCCTCAGCTATTTCTGATAATGATTCAAAGCAACAGGAACTCACCATGTGAAGTCCTATCCTGACCACCTCAAAATTTAATTTTGTACAACACAGTCTATGGAGAGTAGGAATTAATCAAAAAATCTACGGATGCAGAACCAGCTACAGCAGCTACCCATGATAAAAATCCTTGCTTTCACTGTCTGTCCTGTTTGCCAGCAGGTGAGGCCACTTTCACCACAGCATCACTAAACCTGGGACTCTCAATAAGCACATTCAGGCTGTGAGACACAGCTGGACACCTGCAGCTCTTGGGACTCAAATAAAACCCACAGCCAAAATTCTCCTGAGAGAAAGGGAAGAGCCTGACTAAGATTACTTTCTCCCTTTTGCAAAGGTGCCCAAATACTGACTTAATTAACTTCAGGCAAACAAGTTTAAAATAGTTGGACTGTGTTTCCCTAAAAATGTACCAGTAACATCTGAATTTGAATTAATATTTCTCTTCCAAGAGTTTCAGTACTTAGAATGATTTCATTCAAGTACACAAAATACAAGGATTTTCATAACTTTGGTTTGGCGCTCTTCCCAGAGTACAAGTAGTCTAAAAATAAAGTCCTTATAAGATTTATCCTCAGTACAGGGATTTTCTTCCTCTAATGGGGACTGCTCCTCCAATTCTGAGCTGCTAAAATTCTGAAGTCTGTTAGCAGAATAAATTGTTTCTGAAGCTGATTCATTTGCCCTAAATAATTCACACCATCATCCTCCAGCAACTCTTTCTGACTTAATGAATGCAATCTGTCAGCTCCTGGAGAACTTCAGCGTAAAAATTGCCCTTGGAATTAAGTTCTCCTTTTTTTTTTTTTAATTGACTCTTCTTCATTTAGATGGTATCAAAAATATTTCCCCTACAGATTCAGTTCCAAGTTTGAAAAGCCAGATTCGCTGGTTTGTCAACAGAAGGCTCCCCTTGGCAGTAAGCAGTGCATCTCAATGGAAATGCAGAGGATTCCACAGCACCTTGGGAACAAAGCACACCCTGGAGGATGCACCAGCCTCTGGACTATTGCTATTGATTTCCAACAGGCTCTGCACTGGGAACTGAAACTAGAATTCAATATTCATCCCATGCAGTACAAACATATAAAAATGAAAGCTCATGTAATTCCCAGAGTGCACCACAGGTTTAACTCTGCAGCTCTTCTATTCAGAGAAGCAGCTTCAAGAGTTCATAGAGACATCCTGCCCAAAATACTAATCAGCAAAAGAGAGGCTGCAGACTTGAATCTGACTTTCTACTGACTTCAGCTGTCCATCCAGAACCACCATGACTGCAACAGGAAGAACAAATGCCAAGGTTTCCATCAATGGGAACAGCACTAGAGCCATCAGTGACGTAGTTCAAAGCTCTGTACAGCACAAACCTCACTGAATGAAGCACTTTTATGCAGAGGGAGCAAGGAGCAGTTCTACATAATGCCAGGCAGTGTAACGTTTTCTCACAGCATGAAATGCCAAACTTAAAAACCCCAAACTATTGTATTTGCACAGGGCTCTCAAGTGATCAATATTTTTTACTTACCAGAATGCAGAAAGTAATTCCCCCACTGTTCACACTGATGATACACCTCACACTGTGCAATTTCATTTTCATGATGAGGAAATGCAAGATCTATTCCACCAGTATGGATGTCCAGCTGCTTTCCAAACACTGCACTGCAACAATATTTTCCTGATCAGTAAGTAGAACACCACAAAAGCTTTTTGTAAAAAGAAATGCAGATAAAAATAAGATGAAACAACATATATGTAAGTGTACAACTTAGTAACTGCAGTTTTAAAACAAGATTTTACACATACCTTGGATACCAAAAAAGCAGCAGAACTTGTCTAGACAGGACCCATATCTGTTCACAATTACTTCTCCTTAGTAAAAGCAATTACTTTTCTATCTTAAGGACTGCAAGCAGGATGTCTCCCTTCCTTGTTCTGCTACAATTTCATTACCAGAGAGGTGCCTTTATGTGCAAGCCTAACAACTGACATCTATAAATTTGGTATTACTCTTCCTTATCTCGTATCTTTTCTGTAAGAATTCAAACAACAGTATGTGTAGTCAGGCCAAGCTGGGCAGGTCAGCAACTTTATTTTGCCTGTTAAACAAAGTTTACACTTACAACCTCATAGGGATGGGAGTCAACCTTAACTGCTCAGAAACCAGGAAAGATGGAAGGCCTACAGACAAACACACAGGCCTCACATATGTCACCTTAACAAGGTGCTCCTGGTAGCTGGCTAAACATTAATACTTTGGTCCCTTTTTGAGACAAAATACCCTGCTAACACTGTGCCACATGATGGCTTTGCAGAAGCTGTTGGGGCACAGGAGGGAAAGACAAGGAGAAGAGAGAAAGAAGAAAGAGCAGCTGCCGCCATTTCCCAAGTTCATCCTCTGCTCCTGCCTGCTTCAAAATCAGCTAAAGCACAAATCTTCCCAGGACTGACCCTCACCTCCCCTTGTGCCACCTACAGAGGAGCACTTGCTGCATCCTCCAACAAAACCATTAAGAGCTGGAGAGAGGTGACAGATGGATCTGCCAAATGCACAGGGAGAGGAAGAGCCACCCACCTCACCACAAGGGAAAATGGGTAGAGAATGACAGACCTGAGGGGGTCAAAGCAGGGAATTCCCTCCTCCAAGGCTGCTCTAGAGACCAGAGACTCCTCATTATCAAAATTAATTCACCTAACATAGTTAAAGTGCTTTGAGATACTTGGCAAAACAGACAGCTAAGTAAGTATTGCTTAAAAATGAGCTTTCAGCAGCTGACTGGGACAACAAATTGTTTTAGGTCACTTACCAAAGTAAGCTCTCAATTTTTCACAGTCCAAGATTACTACAATCATGCTCTCTGTGGGTCTTTTATTTATATGGTAAGGGCCTCACCCAGCCTCAGTAAAATAGATTTTTAGAGAAAGAAATGCAGACTATAAACAGCACTGCATTAGCAGACAAGCCATGTTGTAACTGGCACTTCTTATCTGTGCACTTCTGTCAGAGGTTGTACATCAAACACAGCATGATTTTGTGCACTTTGACTGCTTTAAGAGCTGCCTCACTATGCTGAAACTATTTACAGACAGAAAATCACCCTTATAAACACTTTTCACAAGCAGGTGGAAAAGACTAACAATCCCAGGTGCACCAGAAAAGCATATGAAAGAAAAACCTAAAGCAGCTGGTTCCACCTTCTTTCAGCTTTAGCTGAAAATTTCAGCTGAACAAGGTCAGATCTAAACTATTTCTTATTAGCTTCCAAAAAAAGATCTGAGACTAATGCAAAACTAAGTACACTATCAATCTTCCAGGAGAGAAGACCTTTTTCTCCTGTGGTGAAAATGAAACTTTAAATTAAGAGCAAATTACATCAAACCAACTGCAAGCAAAACACTACTCAGCAAGAATGCTGAATAACACTCAGATGATGAGCACGAACATCCATAGCTGCTGTTAAGATAAGGCCAGCAAGATCTCATAGATCAAGCTGCAATCCCACACCCAGTCCTCCTGACACCTACCTCCTGAACTAGGACTGATGGAGACTGCTAGAAGTGGAAGGGAAGCAATGGAAGAGGTACCATAACTTGCACCACTCCTTTGGTTATCCAGCTCAAGTTAATAGACTGCTAATGGACTGTGTGATCCTGTGTGCCATATTTTAAGCACCAAGTCTGACTCTAGAGAAGGTGCCAAAACAGAGAAAGCTGTGACAGTAAGGTGAAGCAGTTTATCTGGGCCATATGTGACACCCTAAGTTGCATAAAATGGTCACATTAAAACCAGTGCTACCTACTGATCAGAAAACAATTTCAGTACTGCTGCTACCATTGTACTGTGACTGAAAAAGAAAAATAGCATTAGATTTATCAAAATCCAAGAAATCTGACCTTGATATTGTGGAACATTCAATGTGCCATCCAGGTCGTCCTTTTCCCCAGGGAGAATTCCAAGATAGCTCCTGAGGCTTGGCAGCCTTCCACAGGGCAAAATCTTTACCATGTCGTTTGTCAGAATCAGCTGGCAAGAAGAAGTGATTTGTTAATGGGATATGTCTCAAAGAAAAAAAATGACCAATGAAAGCAAGAGGAAATGTGTATTTAGTGAACTACTCTGATTTTAATCCCTTTCAATCAACTTCTTTTCGCTACAACTTCCCTCTCTTCCCCCTCACACAGGAGAAAATTGAAATATTGGAATATTGAAATTTATTTTGGCAAGCTACAAAGATGGATTCAAGATTCCTTAATATATCCTATCCTATCAGTCCTTTTATCCTTCCCTAGTTTGCCTTATTTTTCATTCATTTAGTTACACATCCACCAGTTTCCCCAGGACAAACTGACTGCACTACAGCAGAAAAGGTAATAAAACTAAACCAAACCACACAAACAAACAAACAAACATAAACCCCCACAATATTTTCTCTGGGACACAATTGCTTTCTGTTTCATATTTTATAAAACAAAGTGCACAGAGGTAAGAATCAAAACTGTTCTTGGACAGCAGCAATTTTTCACTACTGTTTTCACCAAAGGGTTCCCTCCAAAGGTTCCCTCACAGCTATACTTGTTCCTTCCTTCATTGCCAAGGATGCAGTCCTTTCTGCTACAATACTGCAGGACTGTTCATCTCTGCTGACTCCTAACCTCCAGTCAAATACCAGCAGCCCCTGGCACGAGCCACAGAACAGGGCTCTGGACTCTGGACTTTATTTCTGACAAATACATGACCTCACTTTTAGAATCATACAACTCAAAATTCCTAAGAACTAAAGATACAGAAATATAGCCCTAATTTTATCCACTGAATCTTCACCTGGGCTCTTTCACTAGGTTGCCAAGTTCTGAGTGACCAGGATCTGCTGACTCCAACCCTCTTCTGCCTTTTTTTGAGTATACTGCTATAAAAGAGCACTCTTCAACTTCTCAGTTGTAAGCAACAAGAGTCAAAATCTTTAGAAATAAAAATGTACTTAGTTGTGACTGGAGAGGAAGCAGGGTAAAACACATAATCAGTCACAGCTGAGGCTGGAAGGCACATCTGGGGACAGCCCAATCCAACCCCCTGCTCAGAGCAGGAGCAGCTGCAGCAGGCTGCCCAGGATGGTGTCCAGTTCAGCTTTGACTGAGGATGGAGACTCCACAGCCTCTCTGAGCAACATGGTTTGTGTTAACCATCCTCAGGGTAAAAAGGAGTTTTCTTGGCTTTAAATTAAATTTCCTGTACTTCAAGCTGTGATCAGTGCCTCTTGTCCCATCACCAAGCACCACAGAGAAAAGCCTGGCTCTGCTCTACTCCATCAGTATGGGTACACATGGGTAGGATTCCCCTGAGCCTTCTCTCCTCCAAAGCTCTGTCTGTTTTGCCTCATATGAAAGATGCTCTCCATCATTACTGTGGCCCTTTGCTGGCCTTTTCCCACTGCTGTTCTGGGGAGCCCAGCACCAGCCCTGCACTCCAGGCAGTCTCACCAGGGCTGAGCAGAGAAGGATCACCTCCACTGAACTGCTGGCAATGCTCCTCCCAATGGTCATGATGTTCATGCAGCCCAGGAGGAGCTGGCTCTCTGCACTCAGTAATTACCTCTAAATAACTGTTGACAAGATGCATTCCCTCTGTAAGCTGTAACACTGAAACAGCTCCAGAGCAGAGTTGTGAGAAGTTCTGGCTGCACCTGAGCATCAGCCCCCAGGGCATTTTCAGTAATTGCAAACAGATTTTTTAAATGATGCAATACAGAACTTTAGTTTACAAAAGTATGCAGGAGACCTGAATCAAATTCTCTGACACAGAGACCTGATCAGACCCTACTACTCTGCTGAACAGAGGTTCAGCAACGCTGCAAAGCAGGAACTGCAGCAAAATCTCCACAGCCCAGGGTACAGGCCTGCTCTAGCACAGCCTATGAGACACTGCTCACCCTCACACAGAGGCTGCTTAGCCCAGTGACAAGTAATGAAGGGAGCAATTCATCCAGCTAACTTCAGAGCAGGGTAACTGCCCCAACCAGAACATGGCAGGTGAGGTTTCCTTGTGCTTTCCCTTGAGTACCTCACTGCTGGCCACTGCAACAGCAAGAACACTACCCCACTGTGAAGTTTCTATGTACCACTGCCAAGTATTTAATTAAAATTGCTTAAGAAGCCAAATTGTTCTAAGGTACCAGAACAAAGGTGTAGAGGGAAGGACAAAAGGAAGAAGAAAAATCAAGTTTCCTCCTGCACTGGCAACAGTGAGTGCCTCAAAAAATAACTATGAAAGCACTGTAATCCTAATTAACCAGAAACTTAGCTATACAGAATGGGTTAGAAAACTATTTCAAACTGTCAAATAGAAGTCTGCACATAGATGCAAAATGCATTCAAACAGTGCATTAACACAAGCAAGCTCGTGCCACAAACTTACCTGCTTCATCTTGGGTATCAGGGTTAATAGCAGTTAACACTCCATATCTTTTTCCCCAGGACTTAACATCAAAATAAACATTACCTAATACAAAAGAAATGTTTAGTTGCATAGCAAAGATGGAGCACATTGATGAGAACTTGATAACATTTCCCTGAAAGCAAAATTCCCATTTGAAAATTTCCCATTTGAAATTGTGATTTAGAAATTCAGAAATATGGCAAAAGTAGTAGCAGATGTTCCCATCTGTTATCCAGTTTTTCAGTAACCTCTGTGCACATGCTCATTCTGCCCATAGCATAACTCTGAATTCTGGGGATCTCCCAGGCTCTTCCTTGCCCATGCACAATCAGCAATCCCCTCCTCTACTGCAGCTCAAGCTACCCCTAGTCCAGTTACAACGCACTTGAATTCTTCTACAGCCACCAGCTCTGCTAAAAAAAGAAATCCACACATTTTGCTTTGCAGACACATCTTTGACAGCACATAGGAGATACACAGCTCCTCTTTAGAGGTTCCCCCAGCTTTCTTATAGAAACCAGGCGAGGACTTCCCCAAGGAGTTTAGACAGCAGTTTATTACAGTAAACAATTATAATAAATAATGAGCTACATTTAACTTAGAAATTGAGTAATAGTTGTTCTGCCCACTCATGTCATCACAAACAACTCACTCACACCCTGTTAAGCAACAGATGGAAAGCCTGGCACAAGGTATCTCATCTGATTCCAAAACAGGATTACTAAGAGCAGTGACTTCCTATACATGTGCTGAACAAGGAGTTACCTTGCTCAAAGTCTTACCTTGTGAGGTTGCATAAGCTTGTCCACTGGAAATGATTGTTTTTATAAAGGAGATTATTTGAGGAATATTGTCAGTCACCCTCATATATACTGTAGGAGGAAGGACCTTAAAGAAAGAGCAACATAGCATTAACACACTGCCAATGAGTTCCTTCATTCTAGGAGACAAACAAAAAAGAACATTCTTCTCAATTGTATCTTTAAAAAAAGTTGCAAGTATCATAAAAAAATCATAAGTAGTATTTAAGATAATACACACAGAAGGGTGGCAAAGATAAACCCTGATTTTCCCAGTGGCTCACTCACTGCTTCTGACAGGGAGACAAGAAGCAAAGTCACTTGAAATCAATGAAAGAAGATTTTGTGTTTCCTGTGCTTACAATCAGGCTGTTTCTGCATTATAGTAGTATCTGTGAATCAAGGATCTACTGAATATGGAAAAAAACTGTTCCAGAGTTTCATTTGTTCATTCTAAAGCTCAGGATTGCTTCTCCCCACATCTCCTTACTCAAAAGGTGTGCGATATCATTCTAGAAGAATGAAAAAGTAAATCAGCACTCAGTTTCCAAGCAACGAATTTATTTTTTCAGATCAAACTCTCAAAACCAGATTCTTTACCAAAATAATTGCTTAGAAATGCTCTTAGATTTACAATCTTGAGTGTTTGTACCTTTAAGGCAGCCATATCTTGTTTAAAGTCTTCTTCATAAATACGAGCAAGAGCTACTGGCGATATATTCATCTGAAAAAAAAGAGAAGCAGATTGGCAAATCATAAGTCAGAGTAATGATATAAAATATGGCAATCTTTTCTCAGACAGCTAATAGCTAATTGGAAGACTTAGAGAGCCCCTAAGGTAAAGAGTCAGAAAGGCTTATTAATCTAACACTGACAGGGAGGAGATATAAATTATAAATAACTTAGAAGTAGTATTTAATTTATGCTTAATTTACAAAATATTAATGTATCTCTTTTAAGAGAAAGCAACCAAAGACTAAAATAATAAACTCCTTCCCTCTCTTATTATTTTCCTCTTGAGAGGGTCTTTCATTTCCAGTGATAAAATATACCACCATACAGAGGACATTAAAACCATTCAACTTACTGACAGGAAACACCAATACCACCTACGTGTCCGAAAGACAGATCAGGGACTTGCAGGATGAGACAAGATATTCATTTCCAGTGATTAAGAAAAATAAGCTATTTCAGCAGATCATGGGTACTCATAGATCTCAATATTGAAAGCCAGTTCCACGCTTTGCCAAGTCCAGCATTTCTCAAGCACTTTCTCTACATTTCTCATTCATGGGACATGAACAGGTTCCACTTGCAGAGAAGATGAGAAAATGCAACCCAAAAGGAAAGGTACTTGCACATAGGAAGGTACTTGTTCTCAAATACTCAGAAGAGGCCAGGGACTGAAAGATGCATGACAGTAAAACCTGCCCTAGTAAGCAACAGCACTGTATCAAAGTGTTTCAAATGCATGCTTTTACATCTTCTCTGAGAACAAACTACTGGGGAGAGACAACATGCTGTCAGTCTCTCCATCTTGCAGGTAACTGAATCACTAACAACACAAATCCCACATCATCACTTCCAATTCATTACTGGAGCACCTCTATCGGTTCAGATTTTGAGAGAGCAGGTGGGTAGCACTGCTGTACAAAGCAGGGGTTCTGGTGAAGACAATGTTCATGCAGCACTGAAATGAGGACAATGCTCAGCACCAAAAAGCAAAGACATGCTTCTGCCTACAGACCAGTGACTAGATTCATCTCCCTAGACAGCTCAGCTGCTTCTTTGATCAAGAAAGAAACAAAGGTGCCTACAGAAAGAAGATGGGGAATGTCCTCCCCTCCAGATGGATGTTCAACACACAAGGAGACTCGTGTCTCTCTCAAAGGACCCATGATGGCATACAGCATGTTCATCATGAACTAGTACCCAACTTTGAGGTCTCCCCCAGATGAACCCCACCAGGGGATGACAAACAAGCTCAGACATGTTGATTTACCACTGTAATGCTTCAGGTTTCAACAACAAAAGCAGGCTACTAAGGTAAAGGCCTTGGCCATCCAAAAAAATGGTTGAGCAAACACTTCAAATGTCACCAAAAAAAAGCCAAGAAAAGATGACTTCATAGAACCAAAGAATGTAGTAAAGCAACACATCTTTCAAGAACATGTAATTTCCCCCTCCTCAAACACAAAATCACTAAGACGCTCTGACAATAAGGAAAAAATTTAAAATGCAAACATGGATTTAATATGGCTGAATTTTGGAGCAGGGTTTTTTATTTTAGAATTGTTTACTGACTTAGAAAACTGCAAGTAAATGGACTAAGGGAACAGACATATTTCTACATGAGTGGTGTGCTACTATTCATTTGAATGCAAGGGCCTATATTTAACTGCAAAAGTAACTGTTTACTTAAAGATAAGTAAAAGGAACAGCTGTCAAATTCTCTGGCTCCAAGAAACTATCTTAAAGCTTGCAACTGCAATTCAATCCCACACATTCACTTATGATCTCAAAGACATGAGTTATAGATTCCAAAATCAAATTAAACAAAAGGACTCAAAATGCAGAATAAAAATACAGAATACAGTCTTAGTGCTTGAGGGTTCAAAAAGTGTTTTTAAAACCATTAAAAAAAAGGAATTGAAATAATCATTCACCAAGCTAATCTGGTAAAAAGGTCATATGAAAAATTCTGCCAAGAATCACTTACAGCCCCAGTCTTACCGAGACTTACCCGTACACACAATGTTAACTTTCCTGCGGGTGACAGATCCAGGCAGGCCGCGTGAAGCTTTCCAAGGTGCTGACATTGCAGCTAGATGGTGCTCGGCACCTGCCCAGAACTGCCCTCGGCCCCACGTGGCAGTGCTTATGTACAGCGCTGCCTTGCACGTTCACGGCACACAAACACTTCCCACAACTCACCCAGAACCCTTCCGGCTGCCACCTTTTGGGATAATTTCATCCTGCTGAGGATTCACGCTGGGCTTTTGTTCCCTTCCAGCCTCTCAGGCAGGGGGAGAGGGCAGGAGAATCCCAGCTGTGGGTGCTGTAAGGCAGCTCCCTCTCTGCCTCCCCCCATCACTCAGCTCTGTACCCATAACCCCCCCAGCTCTTGACACCCAGCCCTCCTCACTGCCAGACCCATTACAGCCACACTAGGGAACCAGAAATCTCAACGTTAATTGCCTACTAATTAAAACAAACATAACTAAAGAACCCCAAACTCAGGTTAATTTTCCTAAATAAGCAGCTTAGAAAATACCAAAAGGTCAGTCAAAGATTGCAGCAAACACCTACCTCATTGGCTCTTTTTATTATCTTGTCATCTATGTCTGTGATCCCCATCACCATGATAACTTCAATTCCAAAAAATCTTGTCATTATCCTTCGAATTATATCAAATCTAACGTAGGAGCTGGAAGAGAAAGAAACACGAGCTTTTGAACATGCAGTAGTAAGAATAAACTCAAACAAAAATAACCAACAGCCACAGGGACAATCTAATTAATTCAACACTTGCAATGAAAAGATCTTCAGTACATAAGGTGTTTTTCCAAAACCAGTTGCTACCTGCACAAAAGTCAAGCAAATTTCTCTTGAACTGGCCTACCCTCTTCTGGCATTAGTGACACATTACATCAGATTTTCTGAGTGTTTTCTTTTGCTGCATCTCTTTATTCAAAGGGTATCACAAGCTACAGGAGCTGGGAGACTCTTTCAAAGCCAACAGGACAAAATGAGACACACAGATCAGATGTTCTTGTATTGAAATACATCCCTTAGGCTTAGTATATCCTAAGAGGCTTTCAAAAGTCATGCAGCAGAACAGGGAGAAATAAAGCAGGACTCAAATTAACTTTTCTTAGGGTTGAGTAACAACAGATACCAGCCACCAATAAAGTATTTCATTCACACACCACCACAGACCCTTCTGATAGCAAAGAGTAGATGCTCATTCTGTTTTATTTACATTTGAGAGTAAAAGTTATTCTGAAAATTATTCAGGGCTTTTACTACAAAGCAGAGTATTTAATGCTGATAGATTGATGGATATACAAGCTTAGAGGGCTGCTGCAGCTCCTGCTCACAGACTCCCCATCTGTAATTCTCAAAACACACTCTGACTGAGTTAAACTAAATTACTAGGTGGGATACTAGAAGGTGACTAAAATCTCTGTGTCTGCCCTGCAAGATGATGAGAATCCTCCGTCTTTCTGGGCTGTTTCCTCCAAGGCCAGCAAGGAGGTTCACAGACCTACAGGTTCCCATTTCCTTCACAGCATCACACAAACTGCAACTCCCATGGCTGCCAGAACAAAGAAGCATAAGCAACTCCAGAAATGGATTTGCACCCTTCCCTGCAGGTGCCAGGTAGCACTAAGGCACTGATTTATGGATGCAGAATATCTCAATGAAGAAAAATACTTTTAGTTGTTGTTTGTGCCATGCCCATGCTGAATAAAAGACTTTTTGAAAGCCTTGCTGCCAGGGAGATAGTTTTTAATGAATAGCAGCTCACTGGGAGTAAGGCTCATCTAATGTGGTGACACGATTCCATAAGAATATTAAATTGGCCTTTGGATCCTGTTCAGAGGAACAACACCAGCATCAAAAGCTTGATATTAGATTTAACAGCCCTGCAGTCACTGTTCCCAGAGCAGGCACAAATTTCACACTGTTCCCTGTCCTCTCATCTTCCAACTGAATTAATGGAAGAAACTCTGCAAGAACAAGAGCAGAATTCCTGATACCACAGGGTCTTTACCACTCCAGCACTGATAAAAAAACCCAGCCAAAACAGACAGTCAAGATCAGGGGGTGGCAGAGCACGTGCAAGAGAAATCTCTCATGGCTGGTTTTACTCTTATTTCAAAGCTTCAGCCAGGAACCTGGATGCCAAACAGGCTGCAGGTCAAACCAGTACAATCAAGGTCAGACCCAGAACTGGAGGAAAAAAAAATTATTATTTGCCTGTCTTACTTTTTTCTCTATATAGAATGCGTGTTGGATGTCATATGGAGGCAGACAGAGCATCTGTTTTTAGGACTGGAAGCACAACATACTAGAGAATGTTAAATTATTCCATTGTGGAATGGAAACAGGACAGGTGAAAAATAATGCCATTATTTCCAAATTCTCTTCAAGGATCTCAAACTCATTTCCATGATCCACTTCTGCTTTATTACCTTCTCCATTTGTTGTGTTTGACACAAGTCAAATGTAAGATAGAGGGGAAAAAAGGGAATTCTAGTAAGAAAAGAACAAGTGGCAGGAGTACAACAATATGAAGGTATTTAACAAGAGCAGCAGAGTAGCAACAGCCACCACTCCATTTGACTTTATGCTATTTCCCAGGGCCTCTCCTGGCCCCCAACAGCAGCACACATTCTAGCTGTTCTATGGCTGGACCTAGCTACTGGGGAAAAAAGATACCATTTTAAAAAATAAATAAACAAATAGAACCAAGAGTGCTCCACAATCCTAACAAATCAGCTGAGCAACAGGATGTCAACACTGACATGTGTAAGAGCAGAGATACTGGAAAGGAACAGCCAACTCCTCCCACGCTGGAGGGTTCAACTGATGAGAAAAGAGAGCAAAAGGTCTTCAGTGCAGACACCTTGTCAGGCAACAGGAACAACACATGAAGGTGCTTAAAGAGGTGCTAAAACAGGGAATTATACCTGGTGTATCTGCATGATACACCAAAGGCAATATTCTGCACTAACCATTCTTTCCTAAATTAGCACGTGAAGAGGTCAGACCTGGGTGAGGAAGATGTATGGCAAACCTCCACGGTGGGAAAGCCTGAAATTGCTAGCCTACACATGGGTAAGAAAAGATGGGTAAAAAACCAGCAAGTGTAAGCAAGGCCTTTCTACTCCCTCTTTTAATCAAGAAAGTCTGAGGGCAAGAGACCACTGAAAAAACCAGGCATTTAAAAGCCACAGAGAGCTGCAAGACCAACGGGTTAATTTCTCCACCTCTATAAAACATTGTGGTCTAGATCAACTATACCCCTTAGGACAGAAGCACCTCTGCAATTCCCTTCCCTATTACACCATGTCAGGGAAGACAGGCCCTATCACATTAGAGAACCTCAGCTGAGGGATAAAGACAAGAAACTTTTAACCATCTTTTTTACACAGTTACTTTCAAGTGATGATTTTAAATTGTGATTATTTCAAGGTAAACTGTAAAGGAGCCTGTATCACAAAGAGCTGTAGATTTAAATACACCAATTACTATGACTTTCCTGAAAATACTTAGTACAAACAACAAGTCCAAGATATCATGTTCTTGATTTTTAGGTCACAAGTAAAAAGCTAGGTCAGTTTTCTGCTGAGACTTGACAAAAGCAAGGAGGAAAAAGACACCACAACATACACACAACAGTACAGCAGCATTAACATTAGCACTGACAACAGTACTTTCATATAACTGGTATTTTAAGTCCTCCTTTTTACAGAACAAAGCAGCAATTGTGCAATTACTGTGATGGCTCAGTTCAACATGAGCAAGATTCAACACAAGTTTCTGAATGAAGCTGAGACAGGATGAGAAGCTGTGAAATCCCTTACATTGAACGGGAACTATTCAGTTACTGAAATGCACAATAGCTGATCTTCATACAGATGGCAATTATCTGATAAACCCCTGCTCTTCCAAAGAGCACAACACAACCTGCTCTTTAAGGACCTTAAGAGCAGCTTGAGCTGCTGCTGCAACTCTCCTCAGTTTCACAGGAACAGCAGACACCCTGCATGTCTACTCATCAGGTGTGTTGTTTTGAAACAAATGCCAGCAACCTCTTCTGGTGTATTTAAAGTACTTTTTCAAAGTTACTTATAACGAAGCTAGCTTATTGTTCTAACAATCCTAATGAACTACAGATAAAAACTTTTAAGCTACCTGGACTTTCTGAGATTTGAGATGTGATCGTCTATGAGCCTTGAAAGCACCTTTCTATTAGCCAGCCCTGTATGGCTTTTCCTTGGTGCCAACACAGTGCCTGAACTAACCTGAGGTGAAACTATCTTTTCACACAGCTGAGAGGCTCTGTTCCTGATCATGAACTCCACACGAGAGGTCACACTATGCTGATACAATTTGTTACAACTCACCCTGCCCAAACAAACTGCATACATTCCTAATGCTTCTTCCCAAGACACAGACACACACTGTCTCTGTCTCAGCCAGGCAGCAGAACCAACAGCCCCTTTATGGACTACCCCAGCCCCAGAGGAAAAATACATAACAAACAGACTTTTGCCCTTTGCACAGCACAGGGGGCGAAGGGCTAGGCCTCGTGTCACCAGTCACAGCTCTGTCACCAGAACAGACACTGCAGCCTGGGGATGCCCAGCACTGTATTCCTGGCACCCCTGGCATGGGATGTCCAGCGCTGTGTATGTGCCTGGATGTCCCCATGCTGCCATCCACGACTCACCAGGCGTGCCCGAGGTGCGCGTGGTCATACACTGTCGGCCCACAGCTGTACCTGCAGGAGGGGAGGCAAACAGAATCACAGAATTGTTAGGGTTGGAAGATCACCCAGGCCAAACCCCTGTCAAGGCAGGGTCTCCTACAGCAGGGGACACAGGAATGTGTCCAGGTAGGTTCTGAATGTCTCTAGAGCGGAGTTTCCATGAGCCCTCTGGGCAGCCTGTCGCAGTGCTCTGCCACCCTCAATACACATCAGTTCTTTCCCATGTTCAGGTGAAACTTCTTGTGTTTTAGTTTATGGCCACAACTCCTCGTCCTGCCACTAGGCAATGCCAAAAGGAGCCTGGCACCATCCTCTTGACACCCATCTTCGAGGTATTTATATGTATTGCTGAGATCCCCACTCAGTCTTCTCTCCCCTGGACTAAACAGGCCCAGCTCCTGCAGTCTCTCCTCGCAAGAGAGACGCTCCGGTCCCTTAATCACTTTGTGACCCTTCTCTAGACCTTCATCCAGTAGCTCCATGTCTTTCGTGCCCTGGAGCCCAGAAGGGGACACAGGAGCTGTTTCCGGACACAAACCGCTCCTGTCACCCCGCCACCGCCCGCCCTCCCGCCGCGCCGCAAGGCGCTACCAGGTCGCCACTCCTTCCG